AAATTGCGTTGCTGCATCAAAGGACACCTAAGTAACGCGAGCCTAGAGAGGCGCTACGTATGATCAACTTACATATAACGGACGGATAATCTGTTATAACGTATACATATATATATATAGAAGATATCTAATCAAGGCGCTTGGTGAGATCACCTACTTCAACCGTTTGAGTCCCACCGGTTTTGCAAAAACCCGGTCGAAAAATACTAATAGGCGCGATCACGTTTTTCGAGTCAATTCAGAATCCGAATTACGCTTTTCTATTACAAAAACAAATTTTAAATAGATCGTCACACTTTCCCACTTCTAAACGGATAGAAACTGGATCACGCTTTTCTATTGTTAGAAAAACAAATTTTAAATATCGCGATCGTTACATTTTCCCACTTCTAAACGGGTAGAAACTGAATCACGCTTTTCTATTGTTAGAACAAATTTTAAATGACGCGATCGTTACATTTTCCCACTTCTAAACGGGTAGAAAGATAAAAAAGAATAAATAGAAAGAAAGGAAATAAATAAGCTTCATCCGATTGTACGAGCCGATAAACCGGCACTTTTAGACAGTGCAACGAAGCGCGATCGCGCTCAGGACACAAACGGTCAAGGAAAACAGTATCCATTGAATAATTCCAATGTCGCGTCACGCTAATGGATACCGTGTTCCTCAATGAACAATTCGTCTGAGTCATTAGTACGCTAACGATGCTAAATTGGTAAGTTATACTCCAACGGGTCATCTATCACAACGTGAGCACACCTCGCTCTGCCGAGTATATAAACCGCATTATCCCTCGCATACATAGTTTGGCAGTGTAATACCACTCATTCGTGACAATATCCTAACGAGCTCGGTAAAGAGAAAAATATTCTCACGTGAATCCTACGAACAACTTCGAAGAGTATAAATTATGTAGATTGTTTGAAGTGCTCGTTCGTGTTCGAGCATCATGCGAATGACTGATGAGACTACTCTAATCGCGAACCATCATTCCCATCGTTGTATAATACACTCCTCTGTACACGTCGTTAGAAATAAGTCTGCCTAGTCTACGCGATACATTTGTGCGTGTACTATACTACATGAATTAGGTACAATCTGCAATCATGCTCGCTCCGTTCGCCAGAAATGTATAAAAAATCTCACATTGGTATCCCGCGTCAGCTGAATATTGAGATCTAGCCGCCGGGAACAACTCTACATCGTAAGTCGTGCGAGGAAGAACCTTAATGAACTTCGGGAAACTTAGCAATACGTTATTGCACTCGTTGTCCTCCATGAGCCACTTAAGTGTAATACTCGGTGGGTCCACTTAAAGTCACTTAAGCACTCCCCTTGCGTGGTCAGAAATAGGTGCTCGTGTCTAATCGTATCTCTGAGAGGGAACAGCGGTTCACATCGCTGTTTCCAGGGGTTGACTCTTACTTCTCGCCGTGGAGGACAGCTGTGTCAGCTCGGTGGGCTCGTTGGCCAAGAACACGTCTAGATTGGTCTCCAGCAGAGCCTCGCTCTTCGACCTCAACGGCTTCTCCTCCCCGTTGTCCAAATTCGTCTCTAACAGCGCCTCGCTTCTGGGTCGAACTTCGTCGTAGCGATGGTAGGGGTGCGGTGGTATCGGAGGGTTGAAGTCCGGAGCGTATTCGGGCACAGGCTCGGACGCCTGGCTGGGCGTCAAGGGCGCGTTGTCGTAGCTACGCCTGACGTCGTACTCCATGGGACTGTAGGAAGCTGACGCTTCAATGTCGCGTTTCAATTCGCTGATCGAATCAGTCAGAACGAGGCTCGAGTGCAGCGGAAGAGTGGACGTGTTGTTCAGATACGAGCTCTCGTGCGTAGCGTCGACAGCGGGGGTTTCGTCTGTAGTCGTCTCGGTGTTGGATTCCGTGGGCCAGTCATTGGTGCTTCTCGAGGTGAAGGTGGAATGGTTCCGGAAGCCTTCGTTGCGATAAGTCAGGTCGAACACCGGGTTGTCCCCGCTCTGAGGTACGCCGTACTTCTGGGCGGTGCTCTTGAAGTCACTCGTACTGGGCGAATACCGTGGGTTGTGAGCTTCGTAGACGTCGTAGCTTTGATTGTCCTCCATCGAGGAGTTCAACTGAGACTTGTCCATTGAATCTATGCTTCCTCCATTCAGCATTCTTTTGTAATCCAGGGACTTCGAGTTCAGTGTATCCGTAGAGTGTTTTGTCTGGAATGTTGTATATAAGTAATTAGAATCGTAGTATTACAGATTGCTTATTAGATAAGACAAATTGTACCGTAATAGGTTTACGACGGTAAGCGAGTTCAGTGAATCCTGAGGTAGACCCGACTGATCTTAAAGAGTGCAAGGACTGCCTGATGGAATTCCGTCTCTCTAATCTCTCGATATTTCTTCTCTTTGATTTAGACACCCACAGTGCAATGGCAGCTGTTAACAGTGCTAACGCTACGCCTGCAGCCCCTAACACAGCTACTGCGACGATGTCTTTTCTCCAGGATAGTGGATCAATGTTCACCTTAGGATCTAGAATGGTAGGGTCTAGTTAGGATTATTTCTAATCAGTGGAAGCGAGGGACGTACCGATTTCGCAAATGAAGGGACTCGGCTGGGCACAATGATCAATCTCAATGGTTTGATACGTGAAGGTTGTGCATTGGTCTACTCTGTCCAACTGCTGTACCCATGCGCGGTCCGAAATGTCGTAACGTTCTTGCTGTTTCCGTAGGAAGTGCCAGAGCTCAAGATAGTCACCCATGACGAATGGCATCGACGCGTTCACCGACTACATCCGCACAGAAGTCAATATTATGAAATTAGTATGTAAGTGTTCATGGATTCTTGTTATATGGGTGACTTACTCTACAAAAATCTCTGGCACTGAAGAAGTCCATGGGGGCGCCAATGTAGATGTAACAGGTGTCGCCCACAAGATTCCAGGCGGGTGGACATTTCCCGTTCAGAACAGACTTGTTGTTCATGTGGAAAGGTTGGTAATCGACCTGCAGCAATTCAGGGGAGTCCCCTCTGTCCCTGATTCTGCCCGCCACTGCTAGACTTTCATTGTATCCCCACCAATTGTGTCTTGCATCTATATGAGACCTCCACATTTCTAGTTGTCTGCAGGATTCAAACAATTCATTAAATTACTGTCGTTCCAAATGAGGTAATTGCTTGGCAGATGTGTAGAATGGTACTGACTGTGATCGATTCGTGGTGAGCATTTCATAATCATTGTCTGGATTGAAAAAGACATTGTCGACGTACTGCTGGCCAGGTGTGCCAGCCACTATCGTGCTACGGCCATTGCGGTCCAGAGCGTAGTTTCTGGAAGCATTGTTATAGTATTTAATAAGTGAGACCTGGTAATTCGCATGAAACATTCATCGAGGAAACATACTTGTAGAATCCATTGTGAGATGTGCTTTGATAAATGGGCAACCTGACTCTTTCGAATCCTGAGATTTCTAAAAGATGCGCACCAAGATTGCCGTGCAAGTAATTAAGGGTCATATTGCTAACTACTTGTTTCAAGACGATATTGTTGTCGTATGGAGCGCTGTTCTTTGTGAAGTAGTTCCTGAATATAGTGACCTCTTGGTATGGACTACTTTGACGACCTTCTACGTACCTGAAGAGAAGAATGAATAGCGTTAGATAAGAAGTTCCGTTCTCAATTCGAATCGAAAGGAAGCATGGAATTTTATGTTCATACAATGCAGGCTTATTCAAGTTCTCAGCGAACAGGTTGTTGTGTATCCATCCCTTCAAAGAAGTCGCTGAACCCCTAGAATCAGCGCGGATGGAAAGTCCACCCTGATTCTGGCGGACCAAGTTGTTCTAGAATGTCAATTAGTGGTCCGGTTATTACATTAAACAACTGCAAAATTGTATTACTCTTTAATATTAAATCTCTTACTCTGAAGAATAGAGACTGGGTATTCTGGACGTCCAACCAGAGGGCAGATTTACAGGTTGAGAAGTTACCGTAAAGCTTCTCACAATTATTCGTGAATTGATTGCGCTCCAGAGTCATTATTGCGTTTACCTCGCCGGCACTAGCGTATTTGATCGCTCCCTCTCGGCAGTTTGATATCACAGAATAGGATATGTTGTGTTGCACGTCACGGTCTAGGTGATAAAAGATGTCAATCATATTACTGCCCATTAATGGGTAATCAATAGTCAGTTATGTAACTCACTAAATCCAATGGCAGAGATGGGTAGAGTAACAACTTCTGCAATGAATCCATGCACACTGCTTGCACCATTAGCGAACAGTCTTATACTGAGGCTGGGTCCCTGGGTCTTGAACAGTTTCTTTTCGTCTGGACTGTTAGCTTCTAGATGACCTATGCTCTTGGCAGTGATGTTATAAATGTCTCCATCGTACAAAGTAATGCTATCCACGCGACCAGGTTTTCCAGTGGAGTTGAAAAGATTGAACTGCAGAAGCCTACGGACAGAATGCAATTCTCGAATCATTCCTTATTAGATATTCTCGACGTTCAATTAATTCAACCAACCTAAACCCGAAGGGCTTCGCTCTGTAAGCACTGCGGAAGATCTTCACGCAATTCACAGGATGATTGTCGTATTTGTAATACACGATCACACGTTCCTCTAACGTGATCTCCTTGGTCGTGTCGCATATATCAATCATGCTGAATAAATGATAGGGTATATTGAGATCTTTGATCGGCGTGAACGAACTTTCATCCGCCTCGCGGCCTTCTCCCGTTATTGACAGCACATTGACACCGTTCCCCAGTACATTATCGACGGAATTAAACAGCAATTCCACCTAAAAAAATTCATAAATAATTCAGCAAACAGTACGGGCAATATTAAACGACTTGATACGTTCGCTACCAACGCTTATTTCGCTGACGGTCTCTTCAATTATATTTCCTTCAAGCCAATAAATAAATATAATGTAGTTTATGATTCCTAATAACAATATCTAATTAATTTCATTTTCATTATGTAAAATATAAGATTAAGGTCGTCACGAATAAGTGACCCTGGTAGCGAACTTGTTAACCCCTTGCAGTACAATGACGAGTGAGACTCGTAAAGATTTTTAAACCAATTTAACAACAATGTTGTTCATTACCCACAGATCAAAGCAAACTATTTTTCTATTATCAATGTATGATTTTCAAATGAAATTTCTACTTCAAACAGAATGGAAAGTTTTGTTGCATTTCTTCTGTCGATAGTGAAATGTTACACGAGCTTAGTAGCAAAAGTAAATGGTACGGCAAGGGATTAACCCTTTGCACTCGAGAGGTGACCCTCAGTCGCCATTTGATTTGATACAGCAAAACTACGAAGTTAAATATTTAGTACTTTAAATTAAACTTTGTACTGTTACGTGAAATATTTAAGTAAAATATCTTTGTTGCTCAATTCATCTGTGAATTATCGTTAGATTAACAATGTCGTCTGTGTCTCGTCGGAAAGTCTTGAATATTTCCAATAAAAAACTTTCGAGTGCAAAGGGTTAATGGGTGCAGGAACTTGGTACCAACAGTGTGAGTCGGAGATATCACGTTGATGCCGTGATAAGCGCTGCGGCTGATATTAATATGCATTATCGTCGGGGACTTCATGATCGTCTGCAGGGCGGCCGACTTCTCGAAATGCAGGATGCCAGCACCGGTGATGTTTATGTATTTCAGTATCGACTCGACGCGTCTGAGCGTTTCATGAGTCACCACGTCGTGGATGCGGTGCTCGTACAAGTGATGTTCGAATTCACTGTTGGCGATGCGTATGCCGCCCCAATAGTCATGCGCATCATCGAGGTTCCGTTTCCCGCAGCTTATGAACACGAACTGGCTGTCCCATGGACACTCGTGTCGATGACCGTACAGCTGGCCGTTCAGCCTGATCTGGCAGTCCTCTAACTTCTCTTCTTTTCCAGTGCACTGTAAGAAGAAGGTACTTCGTGTCACATAAGACACTTATAGTTTCCAACTTATCTTAGTTCAATAATTTACCTGTAGTGGTTCAGGCCAAGACCACACGCGGATCAGAGAGCCAGGATGAAGTTCGTACCTATGATCATAGGACACGTAGACATTGAGCGAATCATGGCCCAACTGGCGGCAGACCACCTGCGCGTTTCTCTCGGTGAATCTGGTGTCGCACAAGGGTATCCATTGCAGAGTGGTTTTATTGAAGAATTCTAGGAAACCTGTAACAATCATCTCGAGTCAATATAGGATGCTAAAGGATGATAATGGTATGGTTGATAAAGGTATATGCAAATGTTTCACCTTCATTGTACAAGGAAGAACACCGGCCATCTTTGCATAAGCGGATAGTTTCCTCTGACATTGAGACGATATTTCCGGTTGTAACAGGTCTTGGAATTGCGGAGACGTTCGTATCGTTACGTTCCATCGGCTTCATTATAATCTCGTGGCCAGGAGCTCCCACTGCTTTCAGCGTGCCTAGAACTAGGATTCCAACGTTGGGGGCAAACTCCATCACTACGTCCGGATAGATGTGCAACGTAGCTTCTGGCATAACAGTGATATCCGACCGCACTACGTAAGGCTGACTCCTGGCATGTATGGACAAGTTCTCCATGATACGACCGCCTAAGTTATCCAAGTCTACGTCTCTAGCAACCTGCCAGGAAGCGGAAATGGAGGAATCGAAGGAGTCGCTGGTCAGGAAGGGCCTGTAGTTAGCTACCGCGTGGTCGTTCCAGTCGTCGAAGTCGAATATCCTGCGTCTGATGTCGACGTCGTCGGGCGTTCCCCACCAGTTCTCAGAGACATCCACCTCATTGTTGATCTTAGCTGTTCTGATGCCAGCTAGCAGTTCGTAGTCCAAGGAATTCTGACCAAATAGATTCCTATTGATCTGCACCTTCTGAATGCCATGGAAGCCTACCACGTAACTTGGATTGTCGTCGGTGCGACGTGGTCCCATGCCAGCCAGGTCGTAACTGTTTCGTTTGATTTCGTTGTAGTTGAAGTTAGCATCCACGTCCCCCAAGATTTCAGACTGGCTGAACGCCCTGAACTCCACCATGTAGATTCCGGTGTTACTCTCTATGTGGTTGTTGTCGATCTGCATCTTCTTCTCCATTCCACGGACGGAGATCAGCCCAGTCTTGCAACGGTTCCCTTCGAATCGGTTGTGGGAGATGTTCAGCGTGGCGAAGTGACCGTCCACTATGAAACCGAATTGATCGTTGTTCCTCCATGTGTTATTGTCGAAGTATAAAGTGTGCGTGAAGTTCTCGTTGTACTGCCACACGTCTGGTAGAAGCACTTCGAAGCCACCCTTCTGGTTTCTTTCTATGGTGCTGTCTTGCATGATCCAGTGGAAAAGGTTGTTTGAGTATCTGGCGTCCCGGCTGAACTGGTATATGCCTTGGCCATTATCGGTGATCAGACTGTCGTTAATGTGGATGGAGATCTCGGATAGATTGGTCTGATAGATGTTCCAGTACGGCGAGTGCACGTAAATAGCTTCCTCTTGGTTGTGAGATATTTCACATCCGACCAGTTGTATGGACTCATTCGCCTTTCTCAGGAAGTGGTCACCAGCTTCGTCCAAGTATCTGTTGTAGAATGACGCGAGGATGCCTCTTTTGTTATTCTTGATCTTGGATTTTATGACTAGAAGTGTGGGGATCGGTCCCCGTACAATTTTGCTTCTTATGTTCTGTATCGGAGCTCGAATGGCTGTGATGGACATTATAGATCCACCTAACGCGTTGGTCCCACTGTCGTATTCCAGGACAACTATGAAAGAACTGGACGTAACAGGAAATATAGCCAAATCTCTTTTCACGTGCCAAACTTCTCTATTTAAGTCAGCGTACTGCGAATCGTGTATGACAATCTGTTCAGTGCTGCGATTTCCAATTGGATTGAGAAGCTGGATACCGATAACGTAGCCTGGTCTGCACTGTGGGGATTTCAAGTGTTAGTTTATATTAGAATTTCGAATTATAAGATAGAAAATAACAATGTTTACTTTAATGCTGATGCGTCGCCTGATAGGATCTCCGCTGACTTTAGCTGTGATCATGTACTTAGTTTCCTCGTTTCCCAACTCAATGTCTTGCATTTGGTACGGTATCATAATTGGATTGTACGACGAATCAGTTGTATCCGGTGTACGCAAGAACCATCCAGCGAATTCCCTCTGTTGAACAGCAGACAGAGCTGGGTTGTGTCTTATACCAGCTACTTTATTATTCTCCACTCTGGAGTTAATGATTTCCATTCCTAACTGCTTGAAGCTGATGCCGCTGCCACCGTTTTGAGAGAATTCGCTGTTTCTGACAGTATTAATGGCGTCAGCGGAATAGATGTCCGAATAGAGGATCCCCAAACCATCCTGTAGATTGCCGATGACTTTGACACTGTCCAATGAGTGTTTCGCAAAGTCAATCTGCAGAGCTGTGAAAATTGAAACGTTCTGAAGTGTTTTCTCATGTATACAATACTGTATGTTTCCAATATTATTATTATAATATTACCTGGCTTGAAGGAGTTCGTCGTATAATCGAGTAACCCAGCTTTCTCAATTGTCACATACTGCAGGTCACTTCTTTGGGCCAAAGGGCCCAATCGCAGGCCTGCCCATGCAGCCTCCGAGCATCGAACACCAACGTCGTTCTCGTGAGTGCAAGAATTCTCAAAGTTCTGCTGTGTTTCCGCTCGACATTTTGATATGTCGTTATCATCCTCGGTACATCTGACGTTGCTGAGAATGATGTCTTCATTAATACCCGCGCTGGGAATGTGAGAGCGTTCCATGAGCCAGTTATCTGGATCCAAAGTCAGACCTAATTGGTGGCAAACCAGGGCTGCGTCGCGGATTGTCCAACCATAGTTGCAGACAGTCCCCCATTTATCACCAACTTTTACCTTGAAAATAAGTCACGCGGTTGGAGTAAATTACAAAAGAACTTAATAAGAACTTGGTAATATTTTCTTCTTCAAAGAAATAACTAAATCTAAACGAAATATTAGAAAAATGAAACTGAAACGAGTCATTGAACTCGTAAATATAATGTAGCTTACAATTTCTAATAACAATATCCATAGCATTAACCCTTTGGTGAGATGAAATGTTCAGATTTGGAAGACTAAGTCGTGGAAGAATGATTTAATCAGTCGAACAGTAAGAAATCAGCACGTTTTCTTTCTTTCTAATTAAGCAATTGATGTATAATTTAGCTTCATATGTCGAAGGTTTTTATGTTTCGAAGAATCTTCGTCAAAGGGTTAATTTCATTTTCATTATGTAAAATATAAGATTACAGCCGTCACAAACGATTAAAGGATGTTTCTCAGCTTGTTGTAAGTCGATCCTTCCTACCTGCAGTCTTCCTTCCAGATTAGTCTTGCCGCCAAGAAGTCGCACAGACAGCTCCATCTCTTTCATCTGATTGAATCCCTCGTTCATCAGTGTACCGTTATCCGAGTCCATGACAACCTCCTCTTTCAAAGTGAACAAGATATCACTGGGTCGTTTGCCACGAGCATCGAGCCTGCCAGCAACCATCATCCCCACAGCTGGGGGGAAGCGTAAGGTGACGCCAGGATGCAGTATCAACTTGCCATCCGGTCGTACGTTAATATCGCGCTCGACGATGTACTCTCCAGAGCTCAGGAACTCCTGGCCGTCCACTTCACCGCCAACCAAGTTCGTTTCAGGTGTGACGAAGCGAGGCACGAACGTCGGATTGGAAATGATGGTGTTTGCTCCTGGATTGCTGCTGTGTAGTAAGTACGGCAGGTACTCGATCTTAGCTAGATTGTACCTGTCCTTTCTGAAAGAATATTTCATACAATTGCAGATTACATGAGAAAAATTGTCGACGAAACGTTCAAATCAAAGACGAACCTGTGGAACAGCCTGTCGAATATCCTCTTCTCCTCCGCATACCCGAGCCAGTTGAAGGTGCAATTAATGACTTTGGACTGATCCTCCAGGTGAGACCCGATCTCGTATCTAGACTCAGGATTGTGTAGAATATTCCTGAACACCTCGACGTTGCCGGACGAGACAACGACAACGGCCGCCACTCTGGAACGCGGCACTAATCTGGACCTCATCGCGTTCCCATTATCGTACAGCTCGCGGACACGATTGTCGCGCAGGAAGTTCCTCGTGAATAGCAATTTCTGCGCGTCGCTGTACGGTGAAAGGCCGATGCTTACAACGAAAACCCCGCGGTTCCCATAAAATTCATTGTGCTTGACAACGATATCAGCGGGCAGAACGTTGAACTCCTCGTAGAGGGGATTCTTGATTAATATGCAGCCGTTCGACTGATCCCTGAAGTGATTGTACTCGATGGTCCCTTCCAGGTTCAACGCGGGGCTCAGTTTGATGCCGAACTTCGCGTTCTGCACGAATGAATTATGGCCAATTTGGAGCTTCAACGTCCCCCCGTCCTGCCTCCAGCTGGACTCCACTTGGAGGGCCGTCTCGGCGCTGCTGTTGAACCAATTGCCCGTCACGTTCACGTAGGAGTTGCCGGTCACGTTGCCGACCTGCAGAGCGAATAATAAGGGTACAGTGTACCGTGGAAAGTAGGCACCATCATTTGAAAGTCACACTCCGCTTCACTTCGGTTTTATGGCCAACTTCAACAATGTAAAGGTTCAAGCACCGATGCACCGAGGAAAGCAAAGTTCAAAGCCTCCAATTCGCTTGGGTGACTCGGTGGCAATGGTACTCACGAGGATGCCGATGTCCTTGTTCCTGAATATCTGCGAGTACTCCACCACGGTGGTCTGGTTGAAGTACACGTACTCGGTGGCGGAACTGTCGTTCAACCAGACGGCAAACCCATAGCCCTGATTAGAGGAAATGCTGGTTCGAGAGACGTTGCGATTCCCGCCTGTGTGAGTGATGTTGACGCCGTCGCCGGAGTTGAAGGATATGCGGCTGCCTGTGATGTTCACGTCCGCGGCACCGCCTGACACGTGCACGCCGGCCACGTGTTTGTTGCTGGACACAGAGGTCTCGTGGATGTGCAGAGCCGATCGCAGTCTCTCCACCGCGATTCCTCTTCCGTTGTTGCTGGCTATCACGCTTCCGGTTACATTCAAATCATACGTTTTCTCTGAAAGCATTAATCAATGGTTAACTGAAGTTCCACTTCCACAGAATCGTGCGACAGTGAATGAAAATGATTTTTAACTCACTGTAGCCAGACGTCAGTCGCACGAAGATGAGGGTGTTGCTGCGAGGTTCGGCGTAGAATTTAATATACAAATTCTGTCGAGTTGACGACACGCTCTGCGGTAACGTGCCATTCTTCACTCTCACTTTGGCCAGCAATTTCTCCGCGACGCTGTTACCGTCGTAAACCTCCACGATCGCGCTGTTGTTCTTGTCCGTCTTCATTTGCAGGAAATGCATGGTCAGCACGTGTCCCGGCCGCGTGAAGATCAGCTGCGAGCATACTACGTTAACCGAGCCGAACGCGAGAATTCCGTTTCTCTTAGTGCTAAGGGAAGGACCATACTTGCGGGCAAACTTTCACGTTAGGTGCGTATTTGCTTTGCTCCATGGATATTATAACTGGGAACGTTTGACTGGCCGTGGTCGGGAACGTGCACAGATCAAAGACTTCCGTGCGGTCCAGTTTATCGTCGGGTCTCTCGTCGAAGTGGACGTACTTGATGCCGTCCGCGCCGTTGTCCAATATGGAGCAGTCGTTGATGTGCGCCATTCCGGATGAACTGTTCACGTAGATCCCGTATCCTGCGAACGAATCGAGAAAAATGTGTCTGCACAGGTGAATTGTCTAATACGACTGTCTCAGACTATTCTATTGTCAACGGATTTTTCTATTATTTAACCCCTTGGCCTATGATTCCTTTTACAATTCTGACGGCCACTTTGTCATTAATAATTTATTGGAAAAAGAGAAAAATTCTAAGCATATGTTATGCCTATGTTTCCTTTTAAGTATAATAGTTGATTACAGAGGAATATTTACTTTGCATTCGAACGAAGTAATATGTATATTTGTTGAATCATATTGAAAATCTTTATCACAAGTCTCACTCGTTGTTGTAGGACGAGGGGTTAATAAGCTAACAGTAGAATAATCCAAGCCGTGTAGATAAGGTATCGCCGTTACCTCTGCTGTACTGAATGGTGCAATTATTTATAACGACAGGAGCATTCGGCGTGGTGACATTAATGCCGGTGAAGGCGGCGTGGAGAACCGAAATCGACTCCATCTGCGGCGGGACGCCCTCAACATCGATCGCGGCGGTAACATTATACTCCCGGCCAGTTCCTGCATGCCTTTTAACGAAGGACAATATTACCAAACCGACCGAGAACGTCGCGGAAACTCGACTCGATGCGCAAGTTAAGCTTACTCTATCACCACGTTTCGCAGTATCGACTTCGAGCGTCGCACGTAGAGCGTGTTCTCTTGGATCAGCGGGTGATCGTACAGAGCTTCCTCGAAGCGGATTCCTCTCCAGTGTTTGATCGCCTTCGTGGCGCCGTCGTGGCGAGGTAAACACGCGATGCCGAGATCAGGATGATAATCTACAATCACGAGAACATATTTCTGTCGCGGCTCTTCCGGGACACTTGACCCTTCGCGGACGTCGGCGTTTCGGATGAAACTTTTGTATTTGGAAGACTGAATCGCGGGCACATGATTCGATCACTTGGACAGCAAGAGATTAGCATGTTTCTGTTGTTATTATTTAACACGTTGAACGCACGATTTCGTAGAGCAAAGCACAAAATGGAAAAAATATATCAAATCGTTTCATTGAATTGTATTATTTATACTACATAATTGCATTATGTAGTAATTCGATTTGTTTGGGGTCACCGGTGACCTCCACGGCATTCAACGTGTTAACCCTCTATGGGCCGAATTTTTGTCCATGATTATAACAAAATCTACGCAGTACAAAATTAATAGATATCCACATATGAATACGAATTAACGTCTTCGATAGTTTCAATAATTTCATCAAACAAATATATTTTGTAACTTGCAAGTTACGACGTTAAACTTTCACGCCTCATAAAAGTTTAAGTTAACTGATTACTTAATTTTATTCGCCACTTTCAGTGCAAAATGAAATAAATCAACAAGATGCCAATATACTGTTACTTCAAAGTTACATGGGCCTACAGAAGGTTAATACATCATTCAGCTTAATCCGTTGAAGGTTTTCTATATTTCAAAAAATCGTCCGCTTAAAGGGTCAAGCTTTTCACAGGTTAACCTCTTAACTTGAAAATAACAATGTGAAAGCGAAGAAAAAAAATCGTTTTATTGATATTTATCATTTACATGGGATTGTAAGCTATAACACTTATTTATTCAAAAATGAAATATAGCCTTTCTCCATGGAACAGAAGCGCAGTATATCAAAATTGATCTTTCTTGGCCGGTTCTTTTCAAAAACACTATATGTTAAGGAGTTAAAGCTTTACCGCAGACGCCTCCGCCGAGCTGTCGATCGGACCACCTCTCGCAGGTCGTCAGAGAGGTCTCGGTGCCTCTGCAGCCCGGTTGCTCGTAAAGCAATCGTGGCTTCGCCGGCCATTGCCTGTCCATCCACGACCACCATCGTCCGCCTTGGAACCCAAGCTGTCTGCATGCCGTCTCTAAATCCGCTCGGGTCCAACTGCGCGTCACATCAAGGTGTCAAACGAGAATCATTAACTAGGACAGCGTTTCTCAATCCTGTTTACCCGGCGACTCGACACGTGCTCCTTTGCAATGGTACCTTGGCCTAATATTCATGATATTCAAACGTTCAAGATTAAACATTGTCATAATTATAATTGTTTTCAAGTAATTTGAATCTGGTCATCGATGACCACCGTGGCAGTCAACGTGTTAAAATCGATGTTACAAATTACTTGAGAACAATTATAATTATGACAATGCTCAATAGCGTGAATAAATAGGTAATGTAACCCAATGATCGCGAAGTAGTAGTTCCTTTATCTTTGCTACAAAAGGAAAAACGATACATAAAACTCTCAAGTTTCTCGTGGCAGTGTTAATTTACGACAAAGTTATTGATTACTCTTAGGATCGTCTAACCGGTTTCTTGCTTTGGCGAAAGGTAGCTATTGTTTCGCGGTCTAATATTGAGAAACGCTGGACTAGGACATCCGAGGATGTTCAGTGGACCGATCGTTACTTTCTCGAATTCGTGCAAACCGCTCTCCATTCTTCCCGATGGAAAAGCTCGAGTCGTCCCTCGAAAGGAGTCGGCCCATCGGACAGTCGTATCGACAGCGACTCGATGGGATGGACCTGACTGTTCGCTTCCGCTGCTGTTAGCAATATCGGCGCCTGTGGTTCCCCCTGAAATTTCGAGTAGCAAATTCTACCTATATCCAACACTTTAACGTTAATCTACCGTTCTAACACTAGAACTACCGAACGGTGAAGTTAACATTCTCCGATTTGCCTATAAAAACTCCCAGAGTACATCTACTGAGATTCCGATTAACATATAATTCACTTTGCACGTTAAATCAATTTCTTCGATACCTTCCCAGAGAAGCGTTCGTTATCTTTCCAGTAATTGCAAGAGAATTCACGAATTTCGACTCATTCGGTAGTTTCAGTGTTAAATCATTAAAACTTAAGTAACATCTTAAATACTAGTATTCTCTGCTTTCAGCGAACCATTCTATCAACCATGGCCAACTCCAATCTCTCCTCCATCCACGTTTACTAATCCATAAGCAACGACTCATCTCCACATAACTGTATTTTCAATGTATTCATGATCCACAAAAGGTGCTCCCATAATTATAACAGAAATTTATTAACTCGCGCATAGATCACGAAATCTAACGAACTCGCAATTTCCACGAAGCATTGCAGATCAGTTGCCGTTGGTACCCTAATCCGAACGGTAAAGAACCAGGGACGTCACCGGCCCACATAAAAACACTGTGCCCCGTTGCAGGAAGAAAACCTCGCCGTGAAATGCAGTTAATTCGATGGCCTAGGGGAAGCTCGTACAATCCCTGGGAGTGCTGGCCATCAAACAGAATTAATGACAAGTCGCTCGATGATACGATCATTCCAATTCGTGCACGCGCAAGGAAGATGGAAGGAGGAGAGATCTCGTCTCGTCCCCGGGCGTAAGAGGATTAGCGGGGTCGAAGGTTAACAGTTCGGGCCAAGAACCGCCGTTTGATCCGTGACCCGAACGCACCGCCCGGTGGAGGCGGCGCGCGTAGAGCTGATTCACTCGTTCGTGCCTTTTACACTGCGCACGTTCCTCGCATCCCGTTCTTAATCGAGTCATTAACTGGCTCCTGGCCCGTAGGGCTTTCGCCGGCAGCCGCTCTCGCGGAAAGGTTCCGCGACCGGTCATTTCCCCGGTTCGGGTTCCGCCATCGAAAATTCTGATTCCAGTGGATCTTTTCCACTCGACTCCCCTTAACCCCTTGGCGTACTGTTTACTTTCGTTACTAAGTGTAATACTTTACTATCGATGATTTGTAAGAAATATAACAAAACTTTCCATTCTACTTCAGGTGGAAATTTCATTTGAAGATAATACATTGATAATAGCAAAATAGTTGTTTGCTTTGATCGGGTAATGAACAACATTGATTCTTGTTAAATTAGCTTGGAAATCTTCGTCACGAGTTCACTCGTCATTGTACGGCGAGGGGTTAACGGTAGAACTACCGAGCAATTAGAATGATTTATTTCCAATTATTTATCAAAATTAGAACACGTTCACTGAGATTTATCGAATACACGAGTTTAAAAACCTTTCGCAAAAGTGACTTGGTAATTTGAATACTTGAAGAATGAACATTCTGAAGGTCAATTTGATCCGTCTGATAGTTTAATGACGATCTTAATTATATCTTCTTCGATTCGTCAAGACATCCATAAATTAGGGAACAAAGCTACTTAACCCTTTGCACTCGAAAGTATTTAGCAATACTTAATATTTAACTAGACAACGACGATGGGTTTTTTAAAATGAATTCAAAGAGAAATCACAGGTAAATTGAGAAACGAAGCTTTTTTATCCCAATATTAAATTTTCTAATTTTACTGCGTCAAATCAAATGGTGACTGAGAGTCACCTCTCGAGTGCGAAGGGTTAAAATATTTCACGTAGCGATACAGTATAGAAAAGTTAATGGTAAATACCAAAGTTCATAATTTTGTACCGAATCATCCAGCGATTAGGAGTCGAGTGCAAAGGGTTAATGAGTACCCGCGTTACCTGTGTGCATCGGCGCGTGTGCGTACGCATCGCGACGGTCGTGCCCCGTCGCAACGTGACGCGAATAAAGTAACAATCAACCTGGCTCGCGTGTTTCTGGAATTTCCGGTCATCCGATCGTCCTTAGCGGAGGGACACGGTTCGAAACCTTTTGTGCTTTCGCTCAGCACTGGCATCGCTCAACGTTTTCTTTCTCCGCTCGCCGTGAACCTTTCGACCCCGCCATCTTCTCGTTCTTCCCGTTCCTCTGCGCCACTTCTTCTTCTTCTCCTTCTTCTTGTTCTTTAGAAAAAGAAGAAGCAGCAACACGGTTGCCGGTACACGTTGGCTCTCACCGCGGGTTGTTTACTTTCTCGGTGGACGCGTAGAACGGCGTACGACGAACGGTACCCGCGTTAATTATGGCGAGTCATTTGTAAATCGTGGAGCCTTTTTTTTTCTCCTCGTTGAACGCTCGTTCAAACTGGCTGTACCCGACGCTTCGTTGCGCGGCGGGTACCGAACGGCGTGAGGCTAAGTAGCGCGTAACGAGAGACGAAATGAGTCGAAGGGGCTATTCGAGAGCCGCGGCCGATTACGATTCGCACCGGAAACGCAGTTTTAAAGGCGATATAAGGTTACCCTCGGGAACCTCTATCCCGGCCGGATGAAATTTCACGTGACTAGACCGCGCCCAAGACAATGGCACCTTGCAGAAAGTGAGAACCGAGTGTGCTCGGTATGGACCGTGAAGGATTTAGGGTTTCGTTAAACTCTTTGAACGATTAATTAATGTATATTTTATCTTTTCGGTGGAATGACTTTGCAGCGATGTACTGATGGCATTTGGAACATGAAGAAAATAATGGTACCATTAAACTCTTTCAATGATTAATCAATGTAAAATTATTCTATATTTTCAGTGGGATGACTTTGCAGCGATGGACTAATGATATTTGGAACATGAAGAAAATAAAGGTACCAACTCTTTGAAGAATTAGTTAATGTAAAATTATTCTATATTTTCAGTGGAATGACTTTGCAGCGATGTACTGACGATATTTGGAATATGAAGAAAATAATGGTACCATTAAACTCTTTGAATGATTAGTTAATGTGAAATTATTCTATATTTTCAGTGAGATAACTTTGCTGTGAAACAATGATGGACTAATGATATTTGGAGCATGAAGGAAAAAGGTACCTAGGGCCAAGTACCACCATAACACAGTCCTGAGTAAAACGATAACGCAGAGATTTGGAATTGTGTGTATTACGTTTGGAATCAACTGTATCAAGACTACGAGCTAGATACTTCCTTATCGCTTATCGGTGCCATGGTGATATCGATTCCAGGGATACTTATAACTCGCTGATACACCAAAGGCGGTTTATAGTTGTAAGGGAAACGATTGTGAAATTATGGCACAGCAATTAGGGCAAAAAGTAAAAAGCGATCGTTCTGGCATGTTGCAGCAAAGTTTCGTTGGAAGGAGGATCGTAAAGCATTCTGGGAAGTGGAATTGCTACTGTCGTTGCTCGACTCTGGCATGCCCGTAGTAACACGTGCACAATCGTACGTCTGGATGAGTCATGTTCATTCAACGTTAGCATATATACATATATATATATATATATATATATATATATATATATATATATATATATATATATGCACGCATACCGAAACGCTCATCCTCGCGCGGGGCACCGTGCGTTAATCATAACTGGTGTGCACACAGAAGCACGTTTGCCAGCGAAATCTGTTTCGCATACTTTATGCACAATATTTCATTGTTCGTACTTTAATTACCGCCATTTTCCTCGGACGAAATTTACTGCTGCCTTCTTTTCAGTTACGATCGCGCCGGTAAACGTGTTCAGGATTTAACGCTAAATACCCAGTATCTGACGCTTAAGACATTTGGTAATTAACCCTTTGCGGACGAGTGCAGACATTTCGACGAGATCAAATTTCAAACGATACAATTACTCAAACAGCAAGAGATCAGTATATAATTTCTTTTCTTTTCATTATTTGACAGCAGGAGGTCAGCTCGTCATGTCCTTCTTTCCTATTAAAGTAATTGATATATAATTTATCTTTATCTCTTGAAAGTGTTGCACATTTCAAAGAATCTTCGTCTGCAAAGGGTTAAACAGTCATCCAGTATTCATCATACGTTTCGCAATCTTCCAGGAAAGCCTGTTTCATAATTTCATGACTCACAAATTTGGTTCTGCGCTCGGTTACTTACTTTTGCGGTAACGACGCCCCGGACAGTGATACCTATCATAGGACCAAACCGGATCTCAACCCCTGGCTCGATCACCAGCTCACCCTCGCGTTCCACGAACAGGTCCTCGCGGACCAGGTAAGGGCTTTTCGATTTTTCCAACAACCGTTGCCCCCTGACAATGTGACCTCCCCTCAGCTCGGTGAGACCCGCGTTCCCGTTGCCGTTGCTGGCGTTGACGAAAGTCGGCTCGGTGTAATAAATCGACGACTGATCGTACCCCTCGTCCAACTGTCCGCCAACGGCGACCAGCAGCGTCGAGAACAACCATGGAACACTCCACATCTTGCTGCAACCACTGGACGAGATCTTACGAATATCCCTCAGCGCTCGGCCACTTCGTCACTGAATCCTGTCATGGAACATCGACGGCCGAGCGAACAGTAATCTTAGACCCATCAATCTGCCCGAAGTTTCGCTCGGAGGGTTCGCACACTCGTATGACACTTGTTGCAACATTTAGGATCAGCGCACGCCGCTCCGAGTTACACGATAACAATATTTGTTTACAGATAAAACGGAACGAGTCCACGGACCGGTATGATTAACGCAGGATCGTCCCGGGAATCTTTTCCTCGATATTCGGATGCGTCACGCGGATGCGTATACTTTCACTGTTACACGTCTAACGGTCACGATGACTGCGAGTTATGGATTGATGGATCTCAATCGAGGAAAGTACAGTCGGCAGAAGCTAAAGTCCCACTTCAGTCTCGCCCACGTTACGACGTTCTCGGATCGTCCAAAGATTTTCGATCCTCCGACGTTGGATCACCGTGGAAGATGTGGATCACGGACCGTGTTCGCCATGCTACGCCGCAACCGCGGAGGTGCACCGTGTTTTAAATTCGAGCGTTAACCTTTCCTCTCGGCGGGGCTCTTTCACGCGCGAGGGATCGCAGCTCGACTGTAGCGACTCGACTGCGTTGCCGTTCCTCTCCTGTTCCCTCGCGGAAGAGCGCCGAGGAGAACGCCGTTCATTTTCCTACGGGAACGGGGATCATCGTAGGCAGGAGCGTGCTGGTCGAGTCACTGGCGGAGTCATTCACAGTCACTTTTACTCGATCGGAGAACGTTCACAATGGTCGCCGGACGGTCATCCTCGCGACGATGCCGAACGGTCGAGATCTACGCAAGGACAGCTTGCAACGACCGGGACGAGCGTGGATCGGTTCGACGTGGTTCCGTCGCGGCGCGATAGCCACCTGGCGTCACGTTGGGCGCGGTTTCGCTCGCTCGCAGCTTTGTACTCCTCCTGGCCGTTGTCTCTCGCCGTGGACGCACCTCTCGCTTCGCGTCGTTCCGCAGCCACACTAACGCGGCTACTATACGCCACTACCATTGTTGCTACCACCACCTATTAATGCTGAAAGGTACGGCGCGTCACGTGACAGGGGACGCGGTACGTCACGCAGGTTGTGAAACAGGTGAGTACGACCTGGGAAACCTGTCTCTTTCGGTGACACGGAGGGAGTAGTTGCGAGGGACTTTATTGTTTAAGTTTGAATAATTTGTAATTGCAGTTTACGATTATCAGTGTGTCTTATATTACAGTTTTGTATAATGCTCGATCGGTTAACATGTTCGCTACCAGCGTCACATTTTTGACGGCTGTAATGATATATTTTATGTAATGAAGGTGAAATTAATTCTGTAGATACTGTTATTAGGAATTATGAACTACGTTGTATTTAGGAGCTCAAATAAACGCTGGTAGCAAACGTGTTAATAAACGTGTAGATTGGTTTATATAAGATATCGTATTGTTTTATGGTTTTTATTAATCGTGCATTGGAGAATTGGAATGAATTATACAGAGAATTTTAAATAACGTTTTCAAATATTTGATATGTGTTCAGGGCGACATCCATGGCTGAGATCTCAAACTGATGGAGAAATGTTATCGACGGTAAATATAGTAATTTTTTTTTAAATAATGGAAAAGGATATGGATATTCTACTAGGGACAGGACTTAGGTAATGTTTAGTATTTGCAATATTATGAATTCGAAATTCGCCTAATTGCCCGCGAAATTAACGCCATCTATGATAGGAAGCTCAAGCTACTTGGTAATTAGTACTATCATTTCACCGCTAGATTGTGTGACCATGTGCTATTTTTATCTTTGTCTTTATCCATTACAATTTTTACTGAAACAATTAATCTAATCGAAAATTGTTAATAGCTCATTAAGTTTGACCTCAAATTAGAGTATTTTTGATTGGTATTTCAGAATAATAAATAGAAAAATACTTACATTGTCTGCAATATCTGCACGGATCTAAGCCTGTGTGATAAGTATCATATTGTTAGCATTAGATGACGCCCTTGTACCTATTATGTGGGATTTATATATTTTATTTAATATATTTATTTACTATATTCATTAAATTACTATGTTGAAATAGTTTTATTAACTAGCTGCTATGACGGCTGGTTTCAAACTATTTACAAAAAGAATATCAGGAATGTTAACAAAAGAATTTTAAAATGTGAAGTTAAACAATAACTAATAACAAATAGAAATTGACTTTATCTACAAATAGAAACTGACATTATCGACACATTGGCTACAATTACGCGCTGAAAAATTAAATACCAGAAACGACATTGATCACCTGTCAATTCATTAGTAGATTTATGATGATTCTTTGAAACGATATTAAGAAATGATTTTGAAAATATTGTATAACATCTATTATACACTTAATGATACATATGACAGACAAATAAATCATTTTTGTTATGATTATATAAAACAGCATTAATTCATTATAGCCGCAATGTATATACACATAATTTAATTTGCATCTTACATATTATAAATGCATCTTACATGTCTTCTCAATACTTTATAGTCTATTCAAAAAAATTGTATATAAATTATAGTTATATTTCAATAAATTTCATACAAGTTCCTACAATTTTACACATATTATTTTTAATAGAAGAATAGATTTCATGTGAAAAGAAAAACTTGAAAAAGTAATTAAACATGTAAAAAATATCATTAATGTTTACAGGATACAGTAATCTCTACCACTGAAATTTGTTGAAATATATTAATATATCTTTATATTTACATGATACACAACGTAGTTGATATAAACCTACACTGTACAAATAAAATACATAACAAAATTGTTATTTAAATAATATAAAATTAAATAGTATAATTAAATTTATTGTAGAAAATTTTTATTCGATATGATAAAATTAAATATTTAATATGAATGTCGCATTTGTCGCAACGAACATTGAAATATGAATCTTTAAGTAATAAAGCAAAATTACTTTCTCCATTCGCTATATTATTTCAAATGGAAAATAAATGTATAAAAATTGATGATCTTTCCAAAATGTTGTAGATACTAAAATTGGGAACTTTATTCTTACATGCTAATATCCAATTAGCTGCTCTAAACTATTTAACTTATATTATTCCTGGTCTACGCCACAAACCTTGTAGACTTAGCAAACTTGTACTTTTCATTTTAACATTTCTTACTTTCTCCGATTTAAAACACCTGTGCACGAAAATGTGCAAAATACTTTGATGCTACTTAATTAGTTGAAAAGATCAATGATTCGTGTATGTGTGTAGTAAAATAGTGATAAACAGTATAAACATATTGTTATCTGTTCCATACAACTCTGACCGTTTTAAACTTTGAATGTGTTCGTGACATTTTAAAAGTTTTATTGCAAACATTATACGAACTGACACATAAAACTTTAAGCATTTTTTTGCTTATACAAAATGCCAGATATTATATAGTGTAAAATAAATAGCACACTCATTGCAATCCACACAGACTTAATTCGGTTTAAGCTCATTATTATTATTATTATTATTTTTATTATTACTATTATTATTATTAATATTATTACTATTATTATTATTAGTATTAGTATTATTATTGTATTATTATTAATATAGTGTACGTTTATGTTTTTGAAATTCAGAAGAATATAATGTGGAAAGTATTTTTAATACAAAATTACTGTTACATCGAGCGTAAAAATGTTATGGTTATCGAAACTTCTTGATTGTATGAGAAATCACATTTTTCATTTATTATGTGATGAATGATGCGATACTGTAATTATTATTTAAGAAGAAATATTACAAAACTCTTTACCACTTCGGATGGCACACATTTTATCAAAACGTTATACATCAAAATAGGGAGGAAGAACGTTGATACTGCGTTGCATGTTCACGAGTTAACTGCAACTGGAAAATTACCCTCAAGATATCGCGCAGGAATTGCGTCCAACGCAACTGGTACGGGAATCTGTTATACTGCCAGGTGAACTACCTGGTGTAGAGAGTCCGTTATAACCTACTCCGACGAAACGTAATTTCCGATGATGTGAACCAAGACTTTTACTAGAGGTTAAAGATCTATTTCCATTATAACGTAATTGAGATGTTGTCGTCATCGCATAAGACTTTAGATGAGATTTAATAGATTTAGGCAATGGAAGCTGATCGATACCGTACACCGTTGTACGTGCCACTATTGCACGACACGCAAGTTCTTGAAGACTGAGAACTAGAAAGTAATACAATATGATTTTTTCTGGAACTCCTTTGAAATTTAAGGGAATGCGAGGAATTACCTTTATTGGATCGCCATAGTCTTTCCATGCCATTACGATGTAGCGCCATACGAGAAAGTTCGGAGAAACTTTCCCGAATATTAAAATTACAAAGAGGTGAAACTTCAAAAAACGCCATATGATTTTTAGCTGCATACGCTTCAGCGTCGCGTTCTCCTACTTGCCTTTTAAACGCTAAGTGAAGACGATTTCCAACAAGTACTTTCGGTACCCCCGGAGCATGCTGCAATGTGTACAAAAAACATTTTAATTTTATATTACTGTTCAACAGACACGTATTTCTAATAATACTATCGTTATACATGTCTTAATAGCAAAAATATGAAAAGACAGAACATATTTAGTTTAACATTGAACTGTGTCGTGTGTAACAGTTTGTACCAATTTTTCTGGCAATTTTTGAAAAATATACTTTCAGAAAAGAAAGTCTGGGAAACATTCAGTTCATTAGACTTTTGTAAGCTTAATTTTAATTTCTTATTAAAAAATGTAGACTTAGAAATTATTAGAACTGCATTTTGAAAAACTATATTAAAATTGGCCTAAGGTTTTCCTGCTTCCTATGATTTTAAGTATATTTAAATTTTAAATACCTCTTCCACTTCCTTCAACCATCTGTCAATGCCATCGAAAGACCATTTATTGGTAATGTCGTAGACTAAAATTATACCTTGTGCACCACGAGAGTAAGATCTGATTATTGTACAAAATCTACCTTGACCAGATGTGTCCCACAATTGTAACTTTACTCTTTTCCCATCTAACAAGATAGTAGTAGTTTTGTATGCTAAAACATAAATATTTATTTGTGTATTTATTCATATTATATGTTATACAACTACTCGTAGCTATTAGTCCACTCGCTCTTTTTACATTAATCAAGGATGCGATAAATGTTTCTTTGTAAAAACATCGATATTTCAAAATTTTCTTTATAACTTTTCCTTACCATACGTATCAAAATATGTAATCCTCGTCCCTTTTATTTAAAAAAATATATTGTTTTCTGATAATAACAAGAAATTAGATGTCTATTGAAATACATGTATTAAGAGCAAGTAAAAGAGTAAACGATAACTAAAAAGTATTTAAAAGAATATCCCACATACGCTTCATGTTTATCAAAGTTAAAGATGATTATATAAGTAGGACCTACAGTTAGATTCTTGGATAAATAAGTTTTCATGGTATTTTATTAAAATACTAGCTTTACAATGATGTAATACAATGATAAATACTTCTTTACGAGTGAAGTGTATACGAATGACAACGTATCCTTAGCAAAGCACGTAATAATTTTCTTGAAGTCCTAGCAAATATCCTAATGAATTATGTGCTTGCTTAATACCAAGCTGTCAAATGTATTTTTCACTATTTAAATGAAAAAAAGATGTATTGTGTAACATCATCAAAGTGGACCTCTTAAAGGTTAGATAAACTTCTGTACAAAGTAAATGCGCTAGCAAAACTGAATAAATAAAACAAATGCTGAAGTTAAAGAGAAATAAAGGAGATTTTAAAATATACCACTGCCGCTGCAAAACGGTGATTCGGCAGCACCATCTTCGAGACCACTCAAGATCTCTTGTTTTCCAACGTCGCTGTCACCCACCAGTAGAAATTTAAGAAGGTAGTCGTATTGCTTTTCTTGACGAGGCTTTGTTGTGCTGGCCTCACCTGCAGCCATAATATTCCTCTATTGCAAACTGTGAGCATACTGCAGGCAACCCTGTAAGCTTTGACTGCCCCTTTAATGTTTTCTGCGTTTAAGGTTCGTGGACGTGTATGAACTTTTCTAATAAATCTCTTTCACTAATAAAACCATAGCACACTACACATAAATTCCTTTCAACAAACGACGCTTTTCTGTGCCGTCTTATTGTTAACAGTTATTACACTCGCAACGAAAGTCATAACAGAGCAACAATGGTATCTATTTTCTACTGTATTACCCGTTCTACATTCAATTACTTTGGTGGTGTGCTGTCATAAATTTTTCGAAGGTCAAGTACGTTCAACGAATAAGCACAAACTAATAAGGCGATTACAAAATGCACGACCAACTGTTTTAAGAAAAATTCGCTAGGAAAGGAGAGTTTTCATGCTACACCGTAGAACAAAATATATAGTTGTCTATACCTCAGTCTTATTTTCGTAATATAAATCACAGCGCCACTCACGTGTGTTGTTCCACCAATAATTTATTCAATTGTATTTTCTATGTTTTGATACAAGAAAACTTGTATAACTTTTATAATGATGCACGTGAAATTACAATATTAAAAAAAAAAGATATTCGTAGAATAAAAAATAAATAGTGTTTTGGAAACACCAAATAACCTTACTCCTTTAAAATAGGGGGGATGAAGATGAGTTCTTTTCATATTTGGGAATAAGCCCACTGGCGCGACGCCACTGCTTTTGTTCTGTTAATGATTGCAACTATCGAGTATTCTCACCTTAAAGCGTGATAAGTTTTATTTATAACACATATTTATTCAAAATTTTTAAAGTAACAATGGTATACTTTTTCACAAGTGATGGTATTATTATTTCTCATATTGCACGTTTATTATATTTATATAAACTTGTTACTGTTATGCTATGCTAATGTAAAAATAACAAATAATGAGGTTAGAATAACAATTACTTTTAAATTTCAGTTGTACAACCACCGGTGACATTATTTATGGGAGTTGATAAGTTCGAAAGTAAATAAGAACAGTTTAAATTGTTTTAACATTTAGAAATTTATATTCTAATATATATTTTATGTGATTTTTTATAGATGAGAATCTTATAAAGTGGGGTTGGCCAGAAGATGTTTGGTTTCATGTAGATAAATATTCTTCAGCTCATGTGTACCTTCGTCTTCAATTTGTAAGGATATTTTATTAATAAGAAAATATTTCATTAAACAATGTGCCAATGATTGGATACATTTATGTATGTACGTATGTATCATTTACAGGGTCAAACAATAGATGACATACCCAGTATAGTTTTAAATGATGCAGCACAATTAGTAAAAGCAAATAGTATTGAGGGTAATAAGATAAATGATGTTGATGTTGTATATACAATGTGGTCTAACTTAAAAAAAACTCAAGGCATGGAAGTAGGACAAGTTGCTTTCCATAAGGACAAAGATGTTCGTAAAATTCATGTTTCCAAACGAATAAATACTGTTATTAATCGATTGGTTAAAACAAAACGTTCGGAGCAAGTAAACTTTAGGGCAGAAAGAGAACAGCGAGACAAAAATGAAAGAGAAGACAAAAAGAGGCTAATGAGAGAACAAAAGGAAAGAGAGAAAGCAGAAGAAAAGAGAAAGAAGGAAGAGGCAGAAATCAGGTAAGTTATAAATATCTTTATTATTATAAAACTTTAATTTCTTAGAAATGAAGTGAATTATAATTTTTTTCTTTTTATTTTTAGGAGTTATAATTCTTTATTTAATACATCTAATATGATATCTAATACCGAAAACAGTGGGTATGATTCAGATGACTTCATGTGATAATATTTTTACATCATTAATGCTCTGTGCCTAACTTACTACAGTCCTGGACAATAGAAATGTATGTTTTACACGAAAAACGCGAGTAAATTAAAAATTGAATGTTGATATTGCTTGAAAAGAAATTATTAGACATTTTAGCAGTGGATAGTTTTATTTATGAACAGTAAGATACTGCATAAGTGTAAATTATTTATGTACTATTACTATTGATAGCTATATTATTGTAGAATGTATTAAGGTTTTATAAGACTTATTTTACTGTTTATAAATGGTTAAAAATTAAATCTGTAACATTAACCCTTTGGATAGGTTTCACATATTAAGAAGTAACTTTAACTTTCACAAGGGAAAGTAAAGTTTCTTTGTTAATGTGTGAAATTCTGATGCTAGATTACTTAAATAGGTACTGATAGTTCAACTTTAATGGTTCACCACTAGTTGGAAAGGAATTGCGTTTATTTATTATTTAATATAAGTTTTATAACTTTATTTGGTATTTATAGGAAAGTTGTAAAATAACAAATGCACTTGTCTCCTTTCATAACAATGTAACATTAACCGCTTTTAAAGCATTGATTATCCATGCTGGATATTCTTGGTTAGGATATAAGTTTAACATAAATTGCTGTATAAACTCTGGGAATTTTTGATTTTTGATACTTTGTCTAATATCTTGCATTAATCTCATTTGAAATGCGATGTTATGGATAGATAATAAATGGCATGCAGCTGTTTCTACTGTTACAATATGATGAAGATAGGCGCGCGTATATGTTTTACACGTACTGCAATTACATTCTTCGTCTATGGGTCTTGTATCTTTTTGGTATTGTATTTGTTTCAAATTTAATTGACCTGTACGTATCAGCGCGCAACCAAATCTCTGAAATAGATACATAACATTAATAAGTGCCGATGATGAATAAAATTCTATATAAATAGTTACTGATTGTTTTTAATGTAGTCATTGCTATTACCGCTGTTCTCGTAGGAAATACACAATCGAACATATCTATTCCCAATGCAGAACAAATTACTAAATCAACGGCAAATCCAACACCCATTAAATAACGTGGTTTATTTTTTGGAAGTAGATCGGTAGAAAGGTGTACCATTCTCCAGAAATCATCTTTACTTTCTCCTCCACTAAAAATCAATGAGAATTCAAACAGTTTTCCTTATACTCTTTTATTATCAATAATAATGTATTAACTGTTACCTTAATCCACCTACAGCGTAACCATTAACCTTACGTTGTGTCAATTGTTTTGCACTTTCTGATCTAAGCTCAGGATTAAGTCCACCTTGTACAATTGGAAATATACTTTGTTCAGTTGGTTTCTGATGAGCTTTTAAACATCTATCTAACCATCTAGATGTTCTAAAATTAACTACTCAATATTAAACTGTTAAAATAAAAGTTAACGTCATGTTTGTACATGAATTATAAACAACATAATATTTACCTGTGCATTGCTTCTTCTACTCTTGGTCCCGTTAATGTAGTTTTAACCACATCATCAAGTTGCATCATTATATCGGCACCTATTATATTTTGTATTTCCATAGAATGCTCAGGTGTTAGCATACAAATAGAGGCTAAGAAATATTTTTAAAAAAATGTTGGATTTTACCCCTTGTATACGTATAATTAAATATTATTTGATTTAACATTCTTAAAACTTAACTACCATCATACGGTGATTTAAATTTAACACCTTCCTCTGTAATTTTTGCTAGTTCTAATAGTGATACCATCTGAAAACCACCGGAATCTGTTAATAATGCTCTTTTCCAATTCATAAAATTATGTAATCCTCCAGCTTTTTGTATAACATGGATACCCTAAGAAACCAAATTCAATATGATAAATAAATTGAAAATAGATTTCTAATAAAAGGTTTGCATAAGTAATGCTTTGAAATTAAAAAATCATTGTAATATCCTCAACTTACAGGTCTTGATCCAAGATGATATGTATTTCCCAAAATAATTTGACAGTCTAATTTTTCTAATTGTTGCGGTAGTAATCCTTTCATAGTGCCCTGAAACATTAAAGTTTAAATAAGTAATTTGTTAAATACCTTCACAGCTCAACTTACTTGGGTTCCCACTGGCATAAACATTGGAGTATCCACGGGATAATGAATAAGAGACATTTTTCCAGTTCTAGCTTTTGTAGTTTGACATTCATAAAATATTTCAAAAAGTAATGGTGGTTTCGTGACACTTGCCATTATTTTAACAGTTTGGAGATTTCGTAATGAACGATAAAAATTATACCTTATTAATACATATAAGTATATTGTAAAATTATTTTTTAAATTACATACGTTGTACTACATTCAAATAAAGAATATTCTAATAATAGATGCTTTTATATATTAACATATACATTCATAGTATATCATATAATACATTCTGTAAAGTAAATGAAGTAACCACGCGCTACTGAAATCAATTAAGGTCTGTTGTTACTAAGACTTGAAACGTGAACGAGTCATTGAATATAACATAAGAGAAGGCTTTCATTTCTGTCAATGACCAGATAGTCGTAGTGATGTAAATTACAACAAGCCTAAAAAAAGAACTATATTAAAGAAACCACTCAAAATCTAGTATGGCTTATGGTGGAGTTCTCTCTATACTAAATCATAATTTTTATCTATAGCCTTTTCAACTCATTACTAAAATAAAATGAAATATTTTACAAAAACGTAGCATTACGCTAAATTATAAATTATATTGAGAGGCTTCTATTTTTCGTTTTTCCTATACTAGAGACATGTAATGATTAATTTATTTAGAAAAAAATATAAATACATTTTAACTGTACTGTATGAAAGTGTAAATATTTAGCACTACAATTAACATGCTTTTTTCTATTCTGAAATTACATGAACAATATGTTCTATAAACATTCGCATGATTAGCATCAGATGACTATCTAACCAATATATAAGTGCAGGTAGGTAGGCATAGACTGTAGTTTATTCAATTGTGTATAGTATTGTGTCATGGCGCCAAAATGTTACGCTACGTAATAATTCTGAAGAGATAAAATTTTATATTGTTTTTTTATACTTTTTTAAAACATATATAGTATACTGCATTTAGTAATGAAGGATGAAAAATATCACACAGTATCTTGTGGACACTATAAAATCTAGTGAAACCACTAGCGATAATACAAAACAAGAGAAGGAGTCTAATAATGGTTCAAAGAAAAAACGTAACCGTGTTAAAATTAAAATATCACGAACAAATACAAAGGAAAGGGTATGTGATATCATAGAAAGTAATAATGATATGATCGATAAAACACCTAGCCCATTTACTAGAAAACATGGTAAAGACAAAAGTTTACACGAAGCACCCAGGTCTTCGACAAACTTACAAAAACAAACAAATCTAAAAAAATCTGAAACTAAAGATCTAGATTATTTATCTTTAGAAACCATTAGTGCCTACAATAGTAAACATAACAAACAAAATGATAGGAGTAATTCTAGCGATCCATTAAGAAGTAATAAAAGTAAAAAGCAATTAAAGGATAAAGAGAGCTCAAAAAGCAATATAAGTCTGTGTAATACTATTAAGAATAAAGATGCTGAAATTGTAGATTTAGTAAGTGATAATAACAACGAGGATGAATATAATCGCGAAGAGTCTAATGCTTTTCAAATTCTTATGAATCGTAAGAAACAGATTCAATATAATTCACCGACGAAAGTTCCTCAAAATGATGAAGTGAATTTGAAGAATTCTGAGGAATATAAAACTAAATTGAAGCATATGAAAGAGAAGTTAATAGTTTTAGCTGATAAGAAAGGATATTCTAAAAGAAAACTATCAGAGATTGAAGAAGCTGAAAAAATAGAGCGTATTATTCAAAATCGTATCAAAGTTTTTAAAAAGGATGAAAAAAAAGACAATAACTTGGACACAACTGTTTTTACTCAAACACAGTCATGTGGCAGTTTATTGAATTACTTCAGGTATTATATTAATATTATAATTAATGACAAACTGACGAATAATATTAATTTAATTATTTGTTGTGTTTTATTCTATATGTAACAGCAAAGTTCCAGTGAATTTAGCTCATTCAGATATAACAGATGTGTCCACTATTATAGTCAAAGCTGATGTACATATGGCAGAAAATTCTACTCAGTGTAATATGTATAATTCAAGTTCTAATAATGCAAAACAACTTAAAAGACAAAATAAATTGGACATGGAACTGTCTCAACTAGACACTATTAGTATTTTAGAATCTGAAAACATTAGTACAACGTCTAAATCAAGAAAGCATAGTCAACGGGAACAAAATAAACATAGGTGGTCTTTACGAATTAAGCTTCAAAGTTGTGAAAATAGAAATCCTATATCAGGTAATTTAATGAATTCTTTAAAATAGTGTTTATAATCTATTCCATTACATATTTAATATACATGAAGAAACCAAGTACAGGAGTCTCCCTAATTTATGGTTGATGGCAATGAATTTTCACACTTTGATCGCTGATTTCTTTTATTTTCACATAATATTATTTAAATACATTATGAACAATTAATTAATATATTTTTAACTTTCGAAATAGGAAGTAACAGCGATGAAGAATCAATTTTACCACAAAGAGAAATTAATTTAAATGCGAAAAATTCCAAAAATTCTGGAATAAAAAGTGTTGGTCCGAAAGAGTTATCTATGAAAGACAAAAATCCAAGAAGAACGCAAAAACAAATCAATGAGCAAAAAAAACTTGAATTTACAAAACATGAATTATCAAAAAACACTGAGGATATGTTAATTTCAATGGATAATAAAAATTCAGATGAATGTATTAATTCTAACTTAGAAGATTGCATATTTATTGATGAGAGTAAATTAAAAAGAAAAACAGCTGATAAATTGGCTCCCTTGTTCACAAAACGACAGAAACCTGATCCAGAAATTCTAGCGGCACGTCGATTGTTTCTACAACCGGACATAACGGATAAGAATAAAGGCGTAGATCGAAAAGTAAATGCGAACAGTATATTGCTGTTTCCAGTCGTGAGTCATATTACACAATTGAGTAATTTAAGTTACAATGAAATGAGTAATTTTAATATTCCAAAAAAATCACACATTAAGTATATTCCAACCATAAATGTGAACAACTATAAGTGTATAGTGGATTTTTCTGAAATAAAGTTAAGATCAAGTAAAAACAAGAAATTAAAGGTCCAAGAAGTACTATCAGAAATTGAGAAGTTCTGCCCAGGTGTAAGAAAAATGTGGAGTACTATTTCGCTCATTTTTGAAGGACAATTTAATAAAATTGTATCTCCAAAAACGAAAACGAAAAGAATAAAATCTTTACAAAAAGGAAAGGTACTAGAAGAGAAAAATATAGAAAATCAGTCTGAAAGTAACATTTGGACTTATAAATATAGGCCAAAAAGTATTGAAGAAATTGTTGGTAACGAAGAACCTGCAATGAAATTGAAAGAATGGTTAATTGGGTGGAAAACAACATTTTCAAATGAGGATAGTAGTAGTGGAGATGAGTTTTATTCTTCTGATAGCAACTCTTCAAGAGTTCACGAGAACAATCAAGTAGCTATATTATTGGGACCACATGGATGTGGTAAAACTGCTAGTGTATATGCAGTAGCAGAAGAATTTGGTTATATGTTAGTATTGAATATTAATAACATTAACTTTTATTAAATATGTGGTTTCAGTATTTATAGTAATCTTCCTTTTTTTAGTGTATTAGAAGTGAATGCATCATCTAGGAGAAGTGGCAAAATACTTTTCAAAGAACTGGAAGAAGCAACGAAATCACATCATATTAAAAAGAACACAAATACATCTAGATTTTTAAATTTAATTTCGGATGAAATTGTACCAAAGAAAATACCACAAAACTCTCTCATTCTTATAGAAGACATCGATCTTGTATTTGAAGAAGATGAAGGTTTCATTTCTGCTACTTACCAGTTAGCATTAAATACAAAACGTCCAATTGTCATGACATGTAGGGATATTTGTCCACACTTAAGCAAAATAGCGCCACAACAAAACAGAATTTACTTTCAACATGCGAATGGTAATAGGGTTATTGCTTTATTACAATTGATTTCACTAGCAGAAACTGGTTATAACATACCTACCAATTTCTTAAAGGTACGTATCATTAATGTATAAATTAGTTAAGAATCATTATTTTTTGTCTATATTACAAGGTTATTACTTATCATTTTTATAATACAATAGTATTGTTTTATATTTAGTTAAACCTTTAAATAAATAGCAGTAACTATTGGAATGATGTTACAACAAATAATTTTTTGTTTATAGGAACTGGTACAAATAGGAGATTTACGAAACGCTATACTTAAATTACAATATCTAATGCTCTCTAATCCAACACAAATTTTTGAGCAATCAATTATTTTTCAAAAATCATTCTGGCAAAATATGCGACATTACTTATATAAACCAGCAATAAAAGCAAATAAGAAACAAACAGCAAAAAAAGCTGCGAATAGTAAAGAGACGAATTGTAACAAACACATATTAGATGATATAGCAAATAAATTAAATAACATCGTTGTGCTATCACATTTAATTGATTTAGAAGATTCGGCTTTAAATCTATCACAAACAAGAGTACAACCTAGTTTGTCTTTAATTGAAAATATTGCCTCATATTCAGCGTCGGATAATATATGTTTAGATATAGCTGAATGGATTAGCGAGAAAGTTCTATACAATAGTCGTTTAAGTGGTTACGATGGAACTTCTTCATATTACAATGCTATTGAACTAAAGAAACAATTAAATAAGGGAATAAATTCAGCACTATCACATACAACTTCTACATTGCTTGATCATCAAGTTTTATCTACAGATTATCTTCCATGTTTAAGAACAATATGCAGAGCAGAAGAATCCAGGGCTAATGTGAATAATAAAAGAAGAAATCGATTCTTTCATTACCTTCATAGTTTAAAAGTACCATCAATGTCACTCAAACCGAACATTTTAACGGCAGCATGTAGAATAATGCACGATACATTAGATAATAATACAAGCACAAATGAAAGTAATACTCTCATATCACAATGAATTTCTTTTATTATTTTTGCTATGTATATATAGCGAAAATCTTGTGGTCAAATATACATATAATCATTTTATAAAATATATGGAGGAAATTTAATGCATCTATAGTTGACATATATTTTTACAAATTTACAATACCAAATTAAATGGAATGAAAAGTAAGTATTTAATATAATCATTGAAAATAATAGTGCGATACGATAAATACTAAACATTTCGAAATTATAAATATTTTATTTCTTTGATACTTTTTCTTTTAAATGACTGTCCTTCAAAAGGTTGAATTTTAATATTTTATAGATCAACAATTAAATTGATGATATTCTAATGATAGTACTTCTCATTCTTCTGCATATTTCTTTATTTTATAAAGATATTGTGCAAAACTGTATTATAATGCTTTTAATGTGTTTATTAAAATAACAAACATAAATTTAAATATCATAATTAAATACAATAAATACGTATTTGTTATAAATTTATTTTATTTTTCTTCTGTAGATATTGTTTTAATACAATAATTAAATCTTTATATGATGTAATTTGCGATTCAATTCTTCGAATTTCAGAATTTTACGAATGAAAAAGTCACCATAACGATGTGCTACTTTTGTATCTGCGATATGAATCATATCATGATCAATATAAAAGTCCAACTGTAACAGTATATGTTAGAAAATTAATACTTTTTGTATTCCGAGACAATATTAAATAATGATAATGACTGAATTATGTATATGTTACCTCTGAACCAGACTGGAATTTTCCATGTAATCCTGATGCCCCTTTCGTCCAGACAATGTTCTTCATCTTATGTTTGAAACATAACAAATGAATGGTCAATGCACTGACTTCCTTATCTAAATCCCAACTTTCATCAGGTCTAGTATTGCTGCACATGAATGTTGCTAATTTACTTAATGGTAAAGTAGTATATAGCTTCAAGTATGAACGAATCGTCGGTAGCATTTTTTGTTGGATAACTTCATCCATGAAAACTTGAGTTTGATGTTTGATAGCTTCTCGAGCATAATCTTCATTTGGATTGTCGGGATTCGGTGGAGTAAGAGACAAAAATTTTGGGCATGCAAACAGAAAGCATGATTCAAATTCTACTAGGTCTCCATATTGCATCTTGTACATTTTCTCATGGTAATTTTTATCTCGTAATACTTGTTGTAATCCTTCGTCAATGCATTGAGGATGAAGAACAAGGCAGATTGCTAATAAATGGTACATTTGCTCTGTTTGTTTATTTATTTGATAATACTGATAACTTCGTGTGGCAAATAATTGTTTTGTTCTTTGAATGTATAACAGAATTCCAGAAAATGTTCTGATTGCATCTGCGTATCTACGCATCATCATATATGCAAAACCAACATAATAGGCCGTTGATATTTGACAACCAGGTACATGGGAATATGCACTTTTTTTATAAAGCTCCACATTTTCTAGAACTTTAATAGCTTGATAATAATCTCCTAAAAGAGAATGCAACCGTAAAAGACCTACAAGAGAAAAGTATCCAAGCATTTTATATAAGGAATGTCTTCCAAATACTCCAGCCACAGAATCTGGATCTCCTCCACTTGCATATACCTCTAATTGACTTTTAATTTTTGATTTATCAACTAAATAATGCAAGACGTTTAAAACACAGAGTACATCCCATACTTTATTATGTGTGTTCAAGTGTTCAACTTCTTCAGGCGTTTTATTTGATAAATTAGCACGATATTGTGTGAAAGATTGAAACTGATAAACAAATTCATCGATCAATTCCCATAGCCACTGATCTGGTAATTCCAATTGAACAGGTGTTTCTGGGTGTAATATATAATTGAAAAGGTCACAGTAATTAAAAAAAGAACCAAGACGTTGTTCTACTGTTGGTCCTTCCATTCGAGCATAAATATGACGATAATAAAGTTCTTTATAAAGAGTAAGAAATACTGGATCATTATCAACTATATGTGCAATCGCTTGAGCATCTGGCCAAGAAGACTTATCAAACAACTGTTCTGAGATTTTTGGAAATGTTGTTTCATAAAGATTTTGTGTCTCAAAAATCATTCCTTCATTTATACAATTTCGCAAGTATACCAGAAAATTTCGTACAACTTCTGGTACCTGGCGATAGCTCAATCTGTCATATTGCTCGCTATGAACATCCAGTGGTCCATAATCGTCATATGTATCATACTAAAAATCATGTAAAGTATAATTTCATGAATACAGTAATAATGTTATCATTACTACATAGTTATTAAATACCTGGTTGTAATCGTCGTACATGATGATGTAGTATAATTGATTTTGTATCAATAAACTTACTGAACTTACGAGGTACGGTAATAAAGATACAAAAGCTAACCAAGAAGAACTACAAAACGTTCAGGATTCACGAGAATGATATGACCATTAAACATAACAATTTGAGATTCACTTTTTACATACGGTAGTGGAGTAGATACTCTTAAGTCTGTGTCAGTTGTGACGTTTAACCGTCAGATGGTGCTATTTGACACTTTCAGTATCAACATCTTTCATTCAATTCTATTGTTTATGGTAAATATCATATACACCACATAGAGAACTATCAGCATGCATGTTTAGATTACATAGAGATTGTTACGCGCACTGTAAGGGCGGTGTGCATCTTTTTTCGTAAATGTAAATTTGTGGATAATTTAATACACACATAATGGGTATATTAGAGAAAATATCTGAAATTGAAAAAGAAATTGCTAGGACCCAGAAGAATAAAGGTTTGTACGTGTATCCAAAAAATTTATAATTTTTCTTTTTTTTTAAATCATGTTTTGTAGCACATTTACTTTATCTCTTTATGACATATGTAAAGATTTAAAGAATAATTTAAAAATTTAAGAAAATTTTCGTACTGGACAACATAGAACAAAATTTTATTACAATTTCTGTAATGAGTACAAACATTATAATAGTAACAATATATTAATAATTTGAATAAAAGTTAACTTATAATTTTATCTATTTTTGATCATTTACCTATTTATAATCATGTATCAAATATAAAATTATAGTTATTTTAATGCATCAATTTAATATTATTCCTTATTATTTAGATCACTATTAAATATTTATTTTTAATTTTCAGCTACTGAATATCATTTAGGATTACTAAAAGCAAAACTTGCAAAATATAGGTCACAACTTTTAGAACCAGGAAAGAAATCAGAAAAAGGAGAAGGATTTGATGTATTAAAATCAGGAGATGCAAGAGTAGCTTTAATAGGTTTTCCATCAGTAGGAAAATCTACATTGTTGAGCACATTAACGCATACAGAATCTGAAGCAGCATCTTATGAGTTCACTACACTAACTTGTATTCCTGGTGTTATAGAATATAAAGGTGCAAATATCCAACTTCTTGATCTTCCTGGTATAATTGAAGGTGCAGCACAGGTAATTATATTTTTATGTTCTATACAAACATTATTAAATTGCTTTACATTGATACAAAGAAAAAACTGAAAAAAATGATAAACTATTGTAAAATGAATTATAATATATAAATAGATATGGAAGTAGATGTTACATTAAATATTGTTGAGATTAATGCAAGTAACGAATGAAAGTAGCAAAATTATATAATAATTAGAATACTAAATTTGTGAAACTTTTATTTTAATTTTTACATTTTTAAATAAATATTTTAGGGCAAAGGAAGAGGCAGACAGGTGATTGCTGTTGCTAGAACAGCGGACTTAGTTCTTATGATGTTGGATGCTACTAAGCAAGATGTACAAAGGCAACTTTTAGAAAAAGAATTAGAATCAGTCGGTATACGGCTTAATAAAAAGAAACCAAACATTTATTTTAAAGTGAAGAAGGGAGGCGGATTGGCTTTCAATTCAACGTGTCCATTGACAAAAGTAGATGAGAAATTAGTTCAAATGATCCTGCACGAATACAAGATTTTCAATGCAGAAGTTTTATTTCGAGAAGATTGTAGTGCAGATGAATTAATTGATGTGATTAACGCTAACAGAGTATATTTACCATGCCTTTATGTACATAACAAAATAGATCAAATATCAATAGAAGAAGTGGACAGAATTGCTAGGCAACCTAATAGTGTAGTAGTTAGGTAAAATTTTTTACCATATTTTGTAAAGAAAATTATTTTTCATAATTTTCACATGTTTCGGATAGAGAGTATGAAAATATTATTATGATGTGAATTTATAATTTAACTTTATTTACAGTTGTAATATGAAACTGAATTTGGATTTCTTACTTGAAACATTGTGGGAATATTTATCCTTAATAAGGGTATACACAAAAAAACCTGGACAGCCACCCGATTTTGATGATGGTTTAATATTACGGAAAGGTGTTACCGTGGAACATGTTTGTCATGCTATTCATCGGACACTTGCGCAGCAATTTAAATATGCTCTTGTTTGGGTACAGTATTATTTTATTTAATAAAATATATTACAGTTATAGTTAATATAACAAATTCGTTTGGGTTTAATGTGTACAGTTGAAACTTTTTACATTATATACAGTGTTAAAAATATCTAAGTAATATTTACTTTTTACTTCTTAGGGTACAAGTACAAAATATTCACCTCAGAGAGTAGGATTACAACATATTATGCACGATGAAGATGTTATTCAAGTAGTTAAAAAATAAATCTCATGCTGTTACATATGTGACCTACAAATGATTATGTTAAATTTTACACATAGTTGCTTAAGGAGTACTCATATTTAAAATTGTTTCGATCTTTTTATTTCTGTAAACTGAATATAAATATTCAAACTCTACATTTTTAATATAAAATTTTTCCATTTTGTAATTTAATAAATGATATTAAAACCTTTAAATTTGTCTATAAAACATTAAAATTTAATCATTTAATAGTGCAACTTCTAAGAAATTTAAATGAATTACTTTATACATATACTATTCTAATTATTGACAACAACTAAAGTATTAATAACATTAATGTTTGGCACTAAGTTCTATCCGTGCTATGAGTGAAAAAGGTTTCCAAAGGTTTGCCATTGACAATAAATAATATTACTAAAATTCCTTGCATTCCAAGATTTTTTGTTAGAACATTTACAACTACTTTTGCACCAATACCAATACAAAGTTTGCACCACTTCTAATTCATACCACTTATCTATCACTCAAGGAACCAATATATAATTTTTTTTTAATACAATGTCATTCCACTGTTCATTTCTATCGATGTGTTTATGAATTTTGTGGATATAATTAATACATAATAATATTATTTATAATACTATATCTATCATTCTCGCATACATTAAAGTAGAAGTTCAGGAAACAGACTTATCAAAATTTGATCTAAAAGAACATATGCAATGTGTTTGTTCAGTTGTGCATTTTGCAAAGAATCTAAAACAGAATCCATCAATTCAGTCCATGGTTTGTAAAGTCCTATTAACCAATATGGCAATAAATTGTATAATCCTTTTCTTGCGCCTTCATAACAATTTTCACAATTTCCTTGAGAAATTCTTTCTTTCACGTGACTTTTGTCACTCATAACTTTCGTGTGCAACAAATTTACCACAGCAGCTGCCCGTCCACTGCTTAATATTTTTGCCAGAGTGTTGTAAAGCAAAATATTGACAAATGGGTCCACCTTCGTACGAGTCGAGAAAGCGAACATCCAAACAGCTCTTGTGATTATTGAAGGTACATTTAGTAATTTCTCCACTGAAATGAAAAAAGTAAAATTTATATCAAGTGAGTAGAAAACAATTTTATATTTTGTGCCAATATTACTCGCTAAAGAATTGTAATTTTTAAACATACATATTCACCCCTTAACAAATAATGGTTACAGGGAAAATGAGAAATTTACCTGCATCTGCAATTGAAAAGCAAGTGCCCTTTATGTGAGAGCGTTTCGCAGAAGGAAAAACTAAAGTCTTTTGTAAATTGACATCTAAATTGAGATTGTTGCCAAATGTTCCCATTAAAAGGTCACGATGTCCTTTTTTCTCAGTTTTAGGGACATTCGATTCATTTGAAAGTTCAACTCCAATATCTGTATAGCCATTCTTGATGTTTGTAGATGCCAGAAACGTGGTCATAAACTTATCCAGATTCTGACCTTTCTCTTTTCGCAATTTGTATGCCACATTTTGGTACAGTATTCCAATATCCGGTGTGCTATAATTTGTGAAATATGGTTTCAAGTTTGGCATAGTCAGAAAATTGTATAACAGCTCGCTACTTCTGAGTACTGGTTTCGAAAGCAATTTTTCTAAAAATTCTTCGTAACGCTGTCTATTGAGAGTACACGAAGGATGAGGATTTTTCCGTGATGGTAATGGCGAGTCGCTTAATTCTTTATCGCCATGGAATTCTGTTAATCGTGTACGTAAAGCATAAAAATCTTGATCACGGCGTAGAACTGTCCAAGACTTTCCTTCAGCTACATTATGCACCGAGATCATATAAAGTGGTTGATTATCTCCAGATTCAGTGTGCGGAATACTGACTCGCCAAGTTGTCAAATCTCTGTGGAAAGTATTATCTGTACATTTAATTTCACTGTACGAGCGTAACGGATAATCAATTTCTTCGCCTTGATAAATGTCCTGGAAAGGCATTCCATCGATTGTCGATGCTCGTAAAATTCCTTCAATCTTTGGAAAGTGATTTCCAATTTTCGTCGTTACATTCGCGGTTCCGCTGACACTGCAAAGTAAAAATAGGTATATATATATATATTTAGCTTTGTATATACAACTAAATAAAAATGTATTAATTTGTAAAATAAATCATTTCACTGGATAAACTTTAAATTAATCCACAGTGTACATTAAATTACTCACCTTGAACGCGAGGATTGTTTTACGCGACTTATTGTTGGGCGTCCACATAACAAAGCATAAAGCTGCAACATAAAATGATAAACGTATTGGAAAAATCGTAGTAAAATCCCATTTTTTTAATGATACCACTAACAAGAAATATTGTTGTATACATACTAATACATATTTTGTATTTCAAATGTAATACAAAAATAAAAAGTTTTAATTTTACCTACTTGATAACTGTGATGAAATGATGGTAAGCAAGTGGATTCTAATAATGCGTGAGCTTCTTGATGCGCTTGATAAAACGGTCGTGATGTCCTTAATTCTTCAATCTTTTTTGAACTTTTTTCCAGAACTGAAAGTGTCATTACGAATATAAAATAAATAGTAATCCATACAACACATATTTTAAACTTTCGGTTAATGTTATTTCCTTACAAATTAGAAAATATGGAAGAGATTACCTTGACATATTCCTCTTGATATTTCTTCTGGCAAATGTAAATATTCAGGTCCTTCAGGATCAAGATACGTGGAATACATAGCTTGAATATCAGTATACAAACTATTTTCGGCATCTGCACTCAGTTCTGGATTCAACATTCGTTTACTCAGGTCATCTACAAACAGATAGATGTACTAGAATTAAAAACGTATAATTTTAAAACATTAATTTTACAATTCAAATTATATTAGATCTTTTACAAAGATTATACATTACTAAAGTAATGATGGAAAGTTTACCAATATCTAAACAGAATTGCAAAAGATTCATAGGTCCAGTTTCTTTTACATGTTGTATAAACATGTATAATAATCGAGAATCGTTCAAAATTTCATCCAATGACGGTTTTAGATGATTGTATGTAAAGTTCGGCATAACTGAATTTGTCATCCAACATTGCAACATCTGTACATTCAGTGTGTCTACTTGATTAGAAACTGTAGTACCTCGATGTGTTAATAACATTACTAACGTATTTATGTTTTCTGGGTCAGCAATAGCATCTATTGCAGGCAGTAAAATCCAATTTGATAAAATTTCACGAAGAATCACCTGAAAATAAAATATTTTGGTATAATATGTAAAAGATATGTACTACATTTAATTAGGTAATAATAGTATTACTGTTGGAAAACAGTAAATGTGTAAAAAATAAAAATTACAATTTACCTTATTGTTAGTAGATACATGTGCAGCAGGAAGTAAATGTGGTAGACATGCAGTCACCAAGCCCCTGAGATAATTGAGCTCAGTCTCTCGCGAGTAAGCTGCTGGATGAATTTCACAACCAAAATATTTAATGATAGAGTCACGAAAATGAACAGTATCTTGTAACTTTTCAGAATTTGAGCACAATACTTTCCAATCTTGAGAATGTTGCAATATCAGTGGTATTAGTCGACTAAACACAACATTAGCTACATCTGTACGTAACAAGCGTACTGTAATATTCTTAGTTGCAGTAGATGTAGCTAAACGAAGTTGCTGTACAAAAGCTTCGTTTGTTGAGAAATCAGAGTACCATGCACAAACATACTTTTGCAATACATCCTCGAGAAGCTGGGAACAGAAATTATATGCATCTATTGAGAAATAAATGAAAAATTCTGTTAAATCTCTCAATTTCTAACACATAGATAAAAATGTTAATACTTGTTCCAAGGCATAATCGAAATCCTTTGGTATCTTTACTTTAGTTGAGTGAGGAAATAATTTATGCCTTTTACAGCCACTACTGTTACAAACACTGCAAGGATCCTTAACTTCATACACTGGTTTAAATGTTCCACAAATAGCATTAAATTTAAACAATATCATATTAATGTATTGTAATATGAGGAGTCCATAGAAAGTACTTGTTATGTACAGGCAAACTACAATAATTACCCAGATGATGCTAAAATATGTTTATGAAGAATATGTTATTACTTTGTAATTATAAATTAATTAAATTGTTGATAAAATAAATATAATACTTTGAAATACTATAAGGTATAAACCTAAGATACTCCCAGATACCTAAGATCCAAAATTCAAGAACAATCTCTTTTAGGTCACTTCTACCAAAACTTTCGTCAATTACAAGAAATAATGTTAATAATATCGACTTTAAAAGGTATGGTTTTACATGACAAAATTATAAAAATATTATTATATTTATTTCATCAACGATGCTTAGCACTAGATAAAATGGTATTTAAGTAGTAATTGTTTAAAATAATATTCGATTACGTACCTGTTACATACAATTAATATAAAAGCAATTAGTGTAAATATAATTGTTGGAATTATTATATTACACACATAAAAGTCTTGTACTTTATCAGTAGTGAAAAATGCCATGGCTGTATTAATTCTCCTTACTATTATTTAATCACTGTACATGTTCCGTATAACAAAAAAAGAACAACGTTTCAAAACAGAATTTTATGCGACATTTGACAACACTTCAACACATGTACCACGTGACATTGCGTATAGGAAGTAATAAGTAAAATATAAGTACATAAATTATACAACGTGCAAATTTCTTGGTGCACATTCATCCGCAAACCATAAAAAGGTCATTGACCGCTTCAAATCTGAAAGCATTTTTAAAAAAGACAAAATTTTTTAATTTATAGTCTTAGGCTTTCAAAAAAGAAGAAATATTTCAAAGTTACAATTTCAAACAAAGTGATTGTAAATATATGCGTGGGCCTCCTACCAAATAGGAGTGAAAACTGTTTTGTTCAGTGGTGACGAAAGTAATTGGTTTCATTCTATTCTTCCAATAAAGTACTTTTTGTATTGTCACACGTTGAAGTCACGTGGTTTTGTTTACGTGAAATCTATTTCTTATATGACAGAATATAATTAGTAAAAACTGCATCACAACGTCACGAGTGTCAATTTATATAAAATTTATTTTTATTCCTTTCATGCTTTTATGATATGAACAAGTATTCACACGTTGAAGTATTTTTTGTAAATAATTTCTTAAAATATTTACTAACAGTACAGAGTGGTAAATGCAATAAATAAGGTTGAGAAAGGTGATGTTTATTTTTGCATTTTTGATGGTGATCTAATGACCTAACAGTTCATAAATTTGTCAAATGTTTGCAACCAAAATTATTTGGTGTATATAAAACAAGTGGAAATAAAAAGAGTTTATCGCAGAGCAATTATTTTTGGTGAAATCAAAGTTACGGAAAAGGCAAAAGGGTTATGTTACCGTGCAATCTTCGAAAAACGAAAGAACGCTTGAAGAGACGCACCAAAGCTAAAAGTGGATGAAGCAAATAATTATAATGAGACCTGGAACGGTGTACGATAGCCGTGAAATTGGAAAACGAATACGTCGCTTAGTTGACGGAAATTATTCGTATCGCAAGATTCTAATTCTAATTATCATTTGCGGCGGTATATTACTTTATTTCGGCCCACCTTTTGCACAGTGGCTCTTTTCTACTACCGGAGAATCGATACAAGGTAATTAAATTTTATTTGCACAACTAAATCTTTTATTTTTTTTTTATTTTTGGAACAAACTATATCCATTAAAAACGCATTGTAGTTATTAATTGCGCTGTCATTTTCAATTTACAAAAATTTCTACTATCGAATCAATTTTCTGGGATTATGTTTTAATAAATAAACAACTTTCTCGATTACTGTGCATAAAATAATATGTACTTTGTAGCATTTGAGGATTATTGTATGAACGAAAGATTAGCTCCATTTCGGTTGGAGGCTGAAGAATATAATGTAAATATACTTCATAAACCACCAAAGGAAAAAGAACATCAGTATCTGCCATATATTGGCAATGGAATTTTTGGGATTCCGATTTCATCCGAAGCTTGGGTATACATTAAACAAGGACGAGCATTATCATTGCCAATACAGTGGCAGCCATTAATTACACATCCTTTACCCAATGGCAATTTTCATACAGAAGCTACAGTTACAGATTTTACAAATGGAATTGTTTATCACTACCAGTGCCTCAGGGACAAATATTACACAGAATTCCAATATTACGCTCATAGAGTATATGATGCCATAATGGTTCAAGATATGAAAATAGTAAATCCATTTTCACTTTCTCAGAATGTACCATTGAAGCCTCAAGTATCTACACATTGGAACAATGCTCACATAGAATTAATTAAGTAATTAATGAAATTAATATATAGTATTAATGAATTTTTAATTAGATAGAACAAGAAAAAGAAATGGTGTTATTATATTTTAGAAAAATTGAAGTAAACTGTATTTAATATAAGTTTGTTAAATGACCAATTCATTAAATTTATATTTACACCGAATAAAGAATATCTGAATAACTTCTTTATTTTTATATTTAAGATTATATGTAATCTCTATTTTCAGTTGTTTCATAGTAAAAAGTTGCAAATTGAGTAAAATAAAAATCCTTTAAGACTTAGTTTATAAATATGTACATAATATTGTTTATAGTATTGAAATGAACGAATGAATATTGTTTATAATATGTTTACTAATTTCATTTGAAATTTTATTTACTGTCTGTTTAAGTGTTATTTTTATATGTTAAGATAAAATAGGTTTTTTCCTAGATAGCTTTAGGGAACAAATTTTATTTATACTTTAAAACATTGTTTTATATACATGTAATGATTTAAATGTATCATTTTATTAAAACATTAATGAAATCGAAGCATTTTTAATGTTTCTAGGTAGAATTAGAAAGTACCCTCTCAAAATAAAACATAGGTTGAAACATGTTACAATAAAAAATAAAGTAGTTATTCAGTTAATAAAAATTTAAGAGTTCTATTCTGTACTATTAATATTGTAAGTATTGAGAATATATTTTTGTGTGTCTAGAATTCAAGTAGATGATTCTATACATGAGTATAATCTAATTTCTGGTTTTGTTCCACTGCCAAATTCAAATAAGATTGTTGCTGCTTCGATACTTTACAAAGTTCCACCAAGAATGGTACAAGTTAAGGCAAGAAGTACTGTAAAATTTAAATATTTGACAAGCATACAATACAGTGAACCTGTACTTATGGAAGAATACCATATCCAATATGAAATAACAAAGAAGAAAGCTATAGAGGTTCGTATAGATTCCAAAATATTTGAAACATCTACAGAAATGTAATTTAGTTGTTTTTCTACTGTTTCAGGCAATGAAGAAAGTAGTGAAAATTCAGCAACGAAATTTGAAAACTAATCATAATAATCTCTGGCAAAGTTATTGGTATACAAGTCTTAGAATAAGTGATTCTAAAGCTGATGGTGCTATTAATGGTCACAAAATAAATTCTACCCTTTATTATGTACTGTCCCAAGTTTCAAAGGGTGTTACGGATGTAGAAAAGAATGTAGCTATGAATGAAGGTTGTTATCGTGGACATCATACTTTGTGAGTAATACATCGTTTTACAAATATTTCTTTGTAGAATTTATATCATATTATTATATTTCAGAGATGCACCGCGATTATGGAAAGATACGTCCACTATTAATGGTGTGAATAGTATAGTTGAAGCATGGTTAATTACTTTGGAAAAACAAGGATGTCATCATTTAATGACCGGTGATCCTGCCGCTGTACAACAAGCAATCGTGTTAAGTCTTGGGAGTCTACGGTTTAGCAATCAGCATCTTGAATTTAATATTGATCCACAGTATCTTCATCGAGATTATTTATTTAGGTATTAAATTAAAACATTTGTTTTTTTTTCAAAAAATATTTCACATGTATTAAAATTTATATATAAATTTTTTCTTTTTGTTCTTAGAAGAATTAGTTATGGTAATGTAACTCATTTAAATATATCAGTAACAGTTGGGGAAGACAATCGTGCAGTTTTAGGAGTGGCTTTGGATAAAAGTGACAGTGTATATTATGGCTGTGATGCAGGCTGTTTAGATGCACCTATTTCTTTAAGTCAATCGTATACAAATTTTCCTGTGAAATTAACAAAACCATTTACAGCTATACTGTACATAACATCTGATTATCAACATATGCAAGATTTGCGAAATGCATTGCACGTTCATGCGGTGGATGATGGTTAGTATAAGTTACCAAAATACCAATTATTTTATTAGTAAGGTTTATATAAGATCAACTTTTTTATAGCTCCAGCACATGATCACCTTGTGATGGCTTTGCACAAACATGGTCATCAGCTTGGTGGATTGCCAACACTTTTCTGGATTAGCATATGTTTTCTTATAATTGTATTTCACTTATTTCTTTGCAAACTTATTATTAATGAATATTATGGTCATCAAGATAAGCAAAAAGTTAGATACAGTAAACTATGATTACTTTATTTAACCATTATATTGTGCATATGTATATATTTGTTATATACAGTCATACTTAAATAGTAAATAAGATTTATAAAAAATTTGTCTGGAAAATTTTATCGACCTTGCTGATCTGCTCTAGTACTCAATATATTCATCCTCTTTATGATTAAAGAATCCATGATTACGAGGTTCTGGAATCACTTGCTTCATTTGGTAATCATTCATTAAAAAGGCAATTGAATTGTAGTCGTATATTTATCAAATAATTTATTAATATAATTTCTTTATAGTGGTGTGACAACATCATGCATAGCATATCGCCATGTCCATGCTCTGGCAATTTCATCAAACCTTTCACGATCGGTCAAATACATTTCACCCAATTCTGGTTCCATACAAACCTATATATTGCACATATATTTTTATTAGAACAATGCTTACTGTAATACTATTTTTTATTTATTAAGTTCTTTAAGAAATGATGAACTCGGTAGCAAAACGAACTTGAGCAAATCAATAAGCATTTGTAATTCTGTACATGTATATACCTGACAATATGGATCCGTAAGCAAACTTTGAACACTGATTAAAACTTTTGATATCGTCAGTGCTAATGACCAATTATGATGAATCGAATCTATACCAACATCGCCGTGTCTGGAAACATTTGGGTGGAGTATTTTTGTAAGAAATCTTACTATAGGTGGGTACAGAGGATAACTGTAATTTAAAAAAATATATTAACAAAAAAGATACCATTATAATTGAGTTCCTAATTTTCTCCATATATAACATTAATCCTTGTATGATGAATACAAGGTCATTTTTATCTAACTATAAAAAATGTGCAATGTATCTAATACATTTAATAATTAATTTAATAGTTAAAAAACAAATACCTTCTCTTAACATAACTTTCTAATTAATGCTTTACCTTGTACATTTGTATACATACCTCCATGGTACTTGTAAATAAAGATAAAACAGGCCCCCTTCATAAGGACTTCCTACAGGTCCAGTTATAGTTGCTTGCCAGTGACAGCACATTTGGTCTAAAGGCGTTGCTTGGATACCTTCAGGAGGATCTACTCTCAAACTCTTGAGTTCACTATGCAGGCGATTTCTTCTCCATGAATTCTCTTCCATTCTTAATGGTCGTGATCTTAAACATGTTTGCGCTAAACATGTTCTACAAGGTGCAGAGGAAGCTAAAAAATCATATACTTTATACCAGTTTTTAACTGATCCAATGGGTTTATATAATGGCCACCGTAATTTAACATTTTGTTGCCATTGTTGTGATGTTATATGCGTTGACAACAAATAATGCCATCTACGACAAACATTTGCAGCTGACCAAAGACTAACATCGTCTAAATGTGAGAAAATAACTAGCAACACCTCTGGTGGTAACCGTTCTACCAGCCCTGGTTCATTAATAGGCTCGTGTTCAATATGTCTATAATTGGTTAACATCTCTAATCGTTCGGATAAATTGTATAATTGTGATGGTCCTCCTATATCATCCTGCACCTTGTAATTCCATTGATAATGTTGATAATTTTCTAATTCTTGAGCTTGTGACACTACATTATTTAGCTCTTCTTCAACCACATTTTGAAAATTTACAGTTAAAATTTTTTCATTACGGTTTTGAGAATGAGCTCCATTATTCCCATTAGTTATGTCTCGTGCTTTATTAGAATGTCCATCGTGAAAGCGATGCACATTTTGAGATGAAACTACTGCACTCTTAGAACTACTTGCATTTATACTGCTAGAAACTCTTTGATAATTTTGCATAGCTGAAATATTTTCGTTTTGCAAGTGAATACACGGAGATATATGGGAATTAAGATTAGAGATATTTGATATGTTTGATACATTTGAAATTGGATTTTGTGGAGAACTTTGTTGTTGTTGACTTGCTCTTCTTTCATGATTATAGTAAAGTTCAGTTGGTTCATCGTTTCCTGAATCTTCATCATCTGTCTTCTAGAACAGTACATAAAAGAAACTATGTATTATGTATACATAAATTCAGATAAAATCAACAAAATTTGTATGGACCCTCAAAATCATACAATTTAAGAAAAACATTCAAACACATCTTAAAGTTTAAAAATATAAGTTTGAAATATTTTTTAACAATTATTAATTCATAAGCGTATAAAAAAACTAAGGAAATATATTGGATAACAATAAAAATAATAATCATAATAAACAAACATACTTCACTGAAGATAGGAACTGGTAGAAAACCAATGTCATTTGGAAATAAAAATGCATGACAAGTCGGACAAACAGGTTCTCCAAAACATGGTCCATAATATCCGTTACAAAAACAACAAGTTATTGTCTGAAACAATAAATATTTCAATTAGACAATTGAAGCATATGAAACTAAAAAGTGCATAAGAAATTTCACAAAGCTCAGATATATTTTATCAAAATTTTGAACTGTCAACAATGATCAAAATTTTTTAATTTACAAAATCCAACATTTTTTATAATCCTTGATTTGTAAATATCACTTTTAAGTAAACTTTTGGACAGCGGATATGTTCGTAAATGTCAAAAAATGTTTTAAAGAAATGTTTTGACAGTAGTGAATTTTTGACATTAATAAATATACGAATTAAATGTATTAATATTCATAAAAACTTACGGAGAACAAAAATTCAGGACAAGGGACGTATTCAACGGATTCTACAAATTCATCTTCTAAATTCGAATTTACATTACAAGCACTAATTTGATGTACTTTTTCTCCACTCATATATGAAGAACCACCAACTACTTTATCTCCAGCCATTTTGGTATTATAGGAAATGCTATGCCCATTTACCAAGGTACAATGAATTATCCGACTGATGTTCACATTCGTAATATATGCTCATTATTTGTGTGTCTAATCTACTTCAATCTAAAGTATCCAATAACTAACACACGAACGAAAGGGGCACACAAATAAATTCTTGTCCTATAAAAGAAGTTGAGGTATTTTGGGCACAAAGTGATACTTGTCCACTCTAGATTAAATAGTTGAAAGTCGCAACAACATGGTTTGATTTTTCATTGGTAAAATACATGTTTATCCATCTTGTTCTACCAATCAAATGCCGGAATGCGCTTCAATCCTTTCTATGTATTATCCACTTGTTGTTCATTCGTATTATGGATAGATCCATCACACAATAATAATGGCTTCGGTTGATCACGTGATCAACCTCTCGTTTAGTCCATTTTACTTCAAGCAAGAAGCGTGCTGTAAAAAAACCAAACATAAAGCTTGTTGAAGATGACTTATTTCATTAATATTCAATATGATTAGCGAATCTTTAAGCTTTCGAATTTCCAGGTTTTACATTTTATTGAATTTTCTTCTTTTATTAATAAATAAAGCAATAATCACTTAAAATATTCATAACGTTAATTTTATGTATGAAATAAAACTTTTTTTTCTTCCAGAACTATTCTAGTGCACGATTACGCACACGTCCCTGCAAAAGTCACGTGGTTGTGTTGTGACGAGTTAATCCGCACAGTGAATGAACAACAAATGAATTATATTTGCTTTATACGTTTTCGTACATTCACTTATCTCTGAATGTCTTATTATAGAAATCGGTAAATTTCATAGATTTCGTGTTATTATGTAAATTTTTCATTTTATTAAATTATAATTACCAATAAATTCACGAATCATAAATTACTGACAAGTTAAAGATTTACTTACGATTGGTTGAATGTTTTGATTGGTCAGATACTCGACTTTTGTCATGTGACCGTTCCCTATTTATGTTAATATCAGTAATACTGTCTCGAAAATTTTGTGGCAAAACAATAACAAACTGTGTTTTGTGATTGGTTTTTGTGGATATTCGGTGCGTAGCTAAAGAAAGTAATCCACGGGTATATATTGACGTTCACTCGTTTTTCTAAAGTGTTTTCACATCGAAACGAACGATCTTAAGATTTTTTCGAAATTAATTTGAGAAAATTTCGTTCGAAGCAATGTCGTCGTCTAGGAAAAATATTTGCTGACGAAAGTCATGGTCATCTCATGTGCGGATGTTGAATGTACTATGTAAGCGCATGGATTGAGGATTTTTATTATTAATTTCTACCAGCAAGAACTATGCAAACGAGCCAACTGTGATTATATATTTCACTATTTTCTTTACTTTCACTCGAAATCGAATTGTTTCGCACGATTTTACTTATGTTTAGCAAGTTTATACGATTGCATACATTTGATTAATATTTAAAAAATCAACAATTGATAATTGGATATTCGATTGTTCTGTTAATTGAAGGAAAGATAATTGGTAAGTTTAGTTTTGTCAAAACCTGAATAGTTTAAACCATTAATTCAAAAGTAGAAAATTTTAATTCAATTAATTTTAAGATTTTATCACAAATGGGAGAATCTGGATATACAGAGTTATTTCCAGAGATTAAAACCAGCTCAATGGATAATATAATAAAGCAAGAACCTAATCAAGAAATGGGTTCATCTTCTGCATCAGTACCAATACCAGGGGGACATAGAAACAGCAGAGGTGTATACGATCAATTTTCACCATCACCGTTAACTATACCTTCCATCTGGCCTACTAGACCAGATTTTATAGAATCTCCATTTAAAATGGATTCCGATCATTTAGATGTTTCCTTCAAAATGGAAGACGATGATATATTTCAAGTTGACAAAGCAGATCTTATTCAAGGACCTACTCTTGCTGAATTAAATGCCAATGACGATACACTTCTAGGTGATTTAAATTTTGATGATCTGCTTTTACCAGAAGAAAGGATTCAACCATATAAAGTAGATGTTAACGCTACACAACCAGTTGGTCCTTTGTTTAACGATAATAACGCTGGTTTTGCACCAAGCAGTTTTCCACAATCTGGATCAGCATATCGTAATTGTCCTGCATACATAAATACACATGGATGTAATTTGAATCTAAACGTTGTTGACAACTTGGAAACAATTAGTCCTAACGCATTTCCAAGTCCAGGAACCAGTAACATTGCAGGTTTATATATAACATTATTATTTATTTTCTATTTTCACATTACGAAAATCTAATATCAAATTGATAAATGTTTGTAAAAAGGTAATAGATATTGATAGTACATTACATTATAATAGAAATTTCAAAAATTTGAATACTTAATTAGAGAAAAATAACAAAAATTGTGACTATTTAAATTCTTCTTAATCTTGATTTATTTTATATTTATGATAGCAATTTTTTTATTTTGTTCTATATCTAATTAATATTGAATTTAATAGTATTAAATCAATATCAGTTGCATAGGAATAGATTATATAATTCTATTGATAATGATGACTATTATTTTTTCTTTAAAGGTAGTTCAACAGCAAGTTCATCAACATCGCCACATCCTATGAATAGGCCTAGTGGTCAATCTGCACTTCACGATCTGTTAATGAAAAGATGTGAAAATGCTTTTGACAGTACTACTTGTGGACAGATAGATATTGGATGTGCAACCAGCAATAAACCTAAAATATCCAGGTTGTCAATGTCTGCACCAACTCGCACAATGGGGTTTGATCAGATTTGGACTCGTAGAGAACCACGACCACATTTATTAAGTACTAGTAGCCTTACAGGCAGTGGTGTCATCGAAGCAGGATCCACGAGTAGTTTGAGTACTGGAGAAGCACTCAGTCCAGATCCATGTTACCGTATTGATCATCTTAGTCACGACGAAGGTTATGAAGATAGTGATGATGATAGTGATCATTATGACGATTATAGCAGCGACAACGGTACTTCATCAATTATGTATTACAATTTGTATTATAATAGTTTTCAGCGTTGCGTTATTTCGTTTTATACATTTGCAGATACAGGTGGCAGTGATGGTGAAGATCAGAGTACTGGAAGTAGAATAGGAAGTGCAAGTGTAGATTCAAATCGAGATAATAAACACAGTAAAAAGGAACGATTTTTTTGGCAATATAATGTACAGGCGAAGGGTCCAAAAGGACAAAGACTCGTAGCAAGAACGCGCCTCGAAGATCCACATATACTGAACGAAGCCACTGATCCTGTCTTCAGCCCTCATTGCGCACTTCGCGGAATTAAGCATAGTGGGAAGGCACGGAAAGGAGATGGAAACGATCTCACACCGAATCCTCGAAAATTATATAGTATCGGTCGTGAATTGGATAAGTTGTCCCGTGTCATAAATGACATGACACCAGTGTCAGAGTTACCTTTCACAGCAAGGCCCAAAACACGCAAAGAAAAGAATAAACTTGCTTCCCGAGCGTGCCGCTTGAAGAAGAAAGCTCAACACGAGGCAAATAAAATAAAGCTACATGGTCTTGAACAAGAACACAGTTGAGTATTTGCAGTCAGACTACGTAATTCAATTATATCTTTGTTGGTTAATACCAATGTAATGGATATATGATTATTTTCATTTTACTGACACTGAAAGCAACATATAAAAAATTCACGATTATTATTTCAGAGCGATTGATTCAAGGTATATGTCAAGCGAAACAAACGCTTGCTGCAAAGTTAGCGGAACCCAATCCTGAAAATCAAGAAGAACTGACACGACAGATGGAAAAATGTTGCAAACTGGCTACAAGTTAGTATTGACAGATTCTTAATACAGATTTTACGCTTTGTTTCAATGGTATTTCTAAAAGATATGAAAAAGGATGGAGGACCCATAGATATACTGTTTATGCTACCTTGTATGTTACAGAGATACGAATTGCGAATCACTCGACCGAATTTGTCAACAGAGTATTGGATAAAGTTCGTGCTGGCGTTGTTGATGGCGGCATCGATGAATTTTAATACACTACGATTACTTACTAGAAACATGCATTCATGTGTATTGATACAAAATTGCGAGAAAGAGGTGATACCAATCACACACACACAGTTTTTGACAATTTATTGCGAATCAGGAATTAAAAGTAGGTGTCGTCTCGGCACAGAAATCAGGAACCGAAAATAAATGTAAAAATCGTTTTAGTTATTTTACAGGAAAAATAATTAGTTATTAGCGGACAACTATTATTAACAGTATGCTAGCTTAAGTAATATTACAGATATTCTTATAGCTTATTTTAATCTTTAATATTAAGGAATTATTTCAGATTGCTCATTTTTATACAAACGAAATCGTGTGCATTATAAATCATCGGTTCCTGACTTCATTTGTGATAAATGATTTCATTTACTTTGATGCTATCATGAACTTGTAAATCTATATACACGCATGCATATAGAAATATGCATAAATATATGTATGTATAACGCGCGCGTTGGCGTGTGTGTATATATATAGATTTAACAAAATTTCTGTGCATTGCTTCAAACTGAATGTTATAAAACGTATCATGGACTCTCTGTCTCGTTGAGGCGCTGCATTCCTATTTCCTGTTTCTCTGCCTTATTTCGTTCTTTATCATGTATATACTTTTTATATTTGTGTGTATTGTGTACTTGTGTGGATATGTATATAACATCAGAAAAATGCCCTGAATTTCGCAATATTATTCTACATGCTACGTGATTACACAAGTATAAAACTCAGTATAAAAATGAGGAAACGATGCGTTTTATTTGTCGTACGTTCAGGACACATTTATTTTTTTTGTTATTCTTTTAAAACATATTTTAATACAAGAATTCATATAAGAAGAATTTTATTTTTATGTATTTTTAAATTATTTAAAATTTTGTTAAGGTTACCAAGCAAGTATATGTCGTATGGTATGGACTATTAATATCTCGATAACAGTGATAGTTATCGTAATCAAAATAGTACATACATATATTTTATATTCGAATATAAATTTTTCATGTCACCAACATGTAGGAGAGAATTGCGAAGCCAGGAGTTCTTTTCTTTTTCTTTTTTTATTTAAGAAACTCGAGTCTGTGAATTATGTTGTATGTAAAACTTGTTTATAATACTAAGTACTTGCTATGTTTGCAATGAATTTTATATTATTATTTTCATTTTGCGTATATACGTAAAAAGTATCAGTTAATACAATCATTTGTAGCAGTTCATGTGTAAACACATGAAATTAATTACGAATCCAGTGTTCGGTATTTTTTTAAAACATTACTGCAAGTAATCAACATGCAATTCCAAATTGCTATTACATACAATACAATTTTTTCAGTGATTGATAAGATTAATAAAAGAGTAATTCTATTTTTAAAGGTTTATTTTGCGTTAAGTTATTTGTAAATATTGTTTGAAATTTAGATTTAAATATACAATTTTTTATGTTAACAGGTTCAGGCATTTTTCTTTCATATATCACTAGTAGTATTAGAGAGTTCTAAAATTCAAGACAATTGGTCTCTTATTAAAAATTATCAAAACAGTTAAACACAATATTCTACTATTTCATACAATTTTCGTTTTAGGTTTTGGTGACTTATGTTTATAAATATTATGTATTGTACAGTACACATTTTAAGATAATGTCATTCATAATTCAAAATTTTTATTTTAGCAGTTTT